GGTGCAGAGGAGGAGCTGAGGGTGCAGAGATGAGGGTGTAGAGGAGGAGCTGAGGGTGCAGAGGAGTTGCTGAGTGTGCAGAGGAGGATCTCAGGGTGCAGAGGAGGAGCTGAGGGCACAGAATCTGAAGGTGCAGAGGAACTGAGAGTGCAGAAGAGGAGCTGAGGGCACAGAGGAGTATCTGAGGGTGGAGAGGAGGAGCTGCTGGAGTAGAGGAGATGCTGTGAGTGCATAGGAGGAGCTGCGGGCGCAGAGGAGGAGCTGATGGTGCAGAGGAGGACTTGAGGACAAAGTGGAAGAGTTGAGGGTGAAGAGGAGAAGTTCAGGGTGCAGAGGAGAAGCTGAGGGTGCAGAGGAGGAGCTGAGGGTGCACAGGAGGAGCTGAGGGAAGAGAGGAGGAACTGCAGGCGCAAAGGAGCTGAGAGCGCAGAGGAGGTGGTGAGGGTGCAGAGGAGGAGCTGAGGATGCAGAGGAGCTGAGGGCTCATAGGAAGAGCTGAGGGCACATAAATGAGCATGCAGAGGAGGACCTGAGGGAGCCAAGGAGGTGTTGAGGGCAAAGTGGAGGATTTGAAGATGCAGAGCAAGAGCTGAGGGTGCAGAGGAGCAGCTGAAGGTGCAGAGGAGTTGCTGAGGTCTCAGAGGAGTTGAGGACAAAGTGGAGGAGTTGAGGTTGCAGAGGAAGTGCTGAGGGTGCAGAGGAGGATCTAAGAGTGCAGAGGAGAAACTGAGGGTGCACAGGAGGAGCTAAGTGTTCAGAGGAGAAGCTGCAGGTACAGAGGAGGAGCTGTGAGCACAGAGGAGGAGCAGAGGGCATAGAGGAGGAGCTGAGGGTGCATAGGAGGAGCACAGAGCATTAGAAGTAGCTGTGGGCACAGAGGAGGAACTGAGGGTGCAGAGGAGGAGCTGCAGGTGCAGCTGAGCTGAGAGAGGAGATGAGGGGCTGAGGGTGCAGAGGAGGAGCAGAGGATGCAGAAGAGGAGCTGCGCACTCAGAGGAGATGAGAGCTCAGAGATGAGGGCTCAGAGGAAAAGCTGAGGGTGCATGGAGGAGCTGAGGGGACAGCAGAAGAGCTGCGTGTGCAGAGGAGCTGTGGACACACAAGAGGAACTGAAGGTGCAGAGGGGGAGCTGAGGCCACCGCACAGGAGCTGAGGCACAGAAGAGGATCTGAGGATGCAGAGGAGGAGCTGAGGGCACAGAGGAGGATCTGAGGATGCAGAGGAGGAGCTGAGGGTGCAGAGGAGGAGCTGAGGGTACAGACGAGGAGCTGAGGGTACAGAGGAGGAGCTGGGGTGCAGAGGAGGAGCTGAGAGTGCAGAGGAGGAGCTGAGAGTGCAGAGGAGGAGCTGAGGGCACAGAGGAGGAGCTGAGGATGCAGAGGAGGAGCTGAGGGTGCAGAGGAGGAGCTGAGGGTACAGACGAGGAGCTGAGGGTGCAGACGAGGAGCTGAGGGCACAGAGGAGGAGCTGAGAGTACAGAGCAGGAGCTGGGGTGCAGAGGAGGAGCTGAGAGTGCAGAGGAGGAGCTGAGTACAGAGGAGGAGCTGAGGGCACAAAGGAAGAGCTGAGAGTGCAGAGGAGGAGCTGAGGTGCAGAGGAGGAGCTGAGGGCACAGAGGAGGAGCTGGGGTGCAGAGGAGGAGCTGAGGGCACAGAGGAGGAGCTGAGGTGCAGAGGAGGAGCTGGGGTGCAGAGGAGGAACTGAGAGTGCAGAGGAGGAGCTGTAGGTACAGAGGAGGAGCTGAGGGCACACCCTCTGTAAGACGTGGATGAAGACTGGGAATGTGGCTCAGTGGTAGAGTGTTCGCCTAGCATGCAGGAAGCCCTGGGTTTGATTCCTCTGGAACACATACACAGAAAACATCATGCTGTGCCTCAAGTGGTAGAGTGCTAGCCTTGAGCAAAAGAAGCTCAGGAACAGTGACCAGGCCTTGCGTTCAAGCCCTAGAACTGGCAAATAAATATATAAATAAAAAGAAGTGGGTGAATATAATGCATTTCCCTGAGTTCTGGGAGCCATGATAGCAAATTAACAGAACACAGGCAGGGACAAGGGAAGGCCACAGATGACAGAGTGAGAAATAGTCAGAGGTCATTTTCCTGTCGGGGGTCTGGGCCAGCTCATCAGGAAGGCTCTGTCTGCTGACCCTCGGTTGCTGAACGCTGGAAGCATGGTTTGTTGAGTCCCCCACACACACAAACTCCAAGATGTGGTGTTAAGTGTGAAGTACAGAACCAGCTTTTGAATCTTCAGTATGAAAGACTGAGGCACAGAATAGCAAAATTGTTTTGTTTTGTTCTGGTTAGTGGTGGGGCTTGAACTCTGGGCTTGGGAGCTGTCCCTGAACTCTTCAGCTCAAGGCAAGTGCTCTACCACTTGAGCCACAGCGCCACTTCTGGTTTTTTGAGTGGTTTATTGGAGATAAGAGTCTCACAGACTTTCCTTCCCGGGCCAGTTTTGAACCACGATCCTCAGATCTCAGCCTCCTGAGTAGCTAGGATTACAGAAGTGAGCCACCAGTGCCCAGCTAGCAAAATTGTTTTTATTAGTGATTACATATCAAAATGATGCTTTGGCTATGCTGAATTGTATTGGTGGTAAAAATGTGTTTCTCCTGTGCTCTCCACTCCAACGCAGGGCAATCAGGGAATTTTAGATCTCAGGCAGGAATTATGCTGTCTTGCTGGTTTGGGGCTATTCTCTTGTGTTAGTTTTATGCCATACTGTATTATTCTAGTGACTCTTCATAAGACACAGAAATAGATAGATATGTAGATGCAGGTATACTGGTTCTGATATGATAAAAGCAAGCTGGAAAATCCAAAATTGTAGGGAAAACCCCAAACTCTCACAAGCACTCTTATTTCTTTCTTTCTTTTTTTTTTTTTTTTTTTTTTTGTCAGTCGTGGGGCTTGAACTCTGGGCCTGGGCGCTGTCCCTCAGCTCTTCAGCTCAAGGCGAGCACTCTACCACTTGAGCTACAGCGCCACTTCCGGTTTTCTGGTGGTTTATTGGAGATAGGAGTCTCACAGTCTCTCTTGCCCGGGCTGGCTTTGAACCGCGATCCTCAGATCTCAGCCTCCTGAGTAGCTAGGATTACAGGCATGAGCCACCAGCGCCTGGCTAAGCACTCTTATTTCTATACCTACAGAATTAATATTGCTAGTGTAAAACAGATGAGCTTGGCTTTTCTGGACTTTTAACATGAAAGGCAAGTGGCCTTATGCTGTATCTGGGAAGGCAGGAGACAGCTGAAAGTACTAAGCAAGGAGCACTTAAACTTAGCTGCCATTACAATCATCTGGGGCATTTTTAAGGGATTCCTCCCCCCCACCAAAAAAAAATGGCCTAAAAGCAGAGTCACCGGGAACTGACGCCACAAAATCATGGCTAGATAGGTCAGTTTAACCCGCATCTGATGCTGATAACTGCAAGGAAGAATAAACAAAAATTCACACACATGCATCTAAAAGACTCCAAAGCCCCTAAGTCAGGGGCCCCAGCTTAGAGCCAAGCTGTTCTGTTGTGCCAGTCCAGGAGGCCCAGGACCTGGTACTAAGACTACTCTGTTGTCCTGCTACATAAGACAGGCAATGGGATTCCTGAGAGAAGCAGGAAGATGTACACTTGGACAGATGGACAGACAGGCACGCTCAGGAGGCAGGCACCTGGAAACAAGGAGGACAGACACCTGGGCACAGAGACTTGGGTACCCTTGGCAAAAATGAGTTGGACTGACACAGAGGTGGTAGCTTAGCTGCAGACAATAACCATGGAGGGGAGAGCAAGAAGCTCGAGTTTTGTTTATTGGTAATCATTAGGGATTCAATTTCTCAGCAATGTGCTAGTCCTGAGGACCAATCACAGAGCTGGCTGGTTCCCAGGAACCAATCACTAAGCCAGTGGTTTCCAGGGGACCAATCACAGAGCCTGTTGGTTCCTGAAGTCCAATCACAGAGCTGGCTGTTTCCAGGGACCAATCACAGAGCAGTGACTGGTTCCTGGGGACCAATCACAGGGCTGGGGTGCAAAAGGGAATCCTTTTTTATCAGAGCTGCCTGCAACACTCTGCATTGGCGCCAGTTTCGGAGAGGTAAGAGCCGTGCTTCATGTCCATATTTCTTCACTTGGTTGTCTCTAGGATAAAATTCTTCCTCTCTTCTTTAAATGCAGGATGTCACTCCTTGAAGGGTAACTGGGGTCTCCATGAGAACTCTTCTCTGGGACATGGAACCACGTTTTTCTCCTCCTGGAACTGGGGTGTGAGGTCAGAGGTGCACAGGCCAGGGTTGGGGATGGGGGGAGGGAGGTGGCAGGCACTGGCCAAGAGACTTGCAGACAGCTGGGGTCCCCTTGTTGTGAGGGCTACGGTCTGCACACTGCCATCCCCGTCCTATGCTTGGAGCTTTGGGGAACTCTGGCTTTGCTGAGCATCTATCTTCCATTCAAGGAGGCATTGCCTCCCATAACTGAGATGATGCAGCCTCTTGAGACCAGTTCCACCCAGCCTCAGAACTTCAGATGCAGGTGATTCATATCTGTCTCCTAGAGGTGTGTTTTATCCTCTGAAAGTGAAACTCACCCATTCACCTGTGTACTGAAACCAGGCTCCTTCAATCACTCATTTTCAAGCCTTCCCTTAAACTGGCTGTAGACCTCCATTTCATCATTAAAGTAAAACTTTAGCCTCTTCGCTGGGTGCCTGGAATCCTAGCTTCTCAGGAGGCTGAGATCTCAAGATCATGGTTCAAAGCCAGCCCAGGTAGGAAAGTCCGTGAGACTCAGGACTAGCAGAGGAGGAGGAGGAAGAGGAGAAGGAAGAGGAGAAGGAGGAGGAGGCAGCAGCCTTTTGTCAAGACAGGGAATTTAACCTCCTTTGAGGAGTTTCCAAAGGGGCAGAATGAGCAAGAGGAGAGCTGTGTCTGGGCAGAGGTATCCAGGGTTTGAGAAAGGTCTGTCTGTCTGTCTTTTGTACAGCTCAGCTCTCACAGCATAACAGAATGGCAGCAGATGTGGCCACAGCGGACCCCAAGCTAAGTTTCAACCTGCAGGCTCTCCTGGAGCAGCTGTGTGATGAGGAGCTGAGCAAGTTCAAGTCCCAGCTTGGCCTCTTTGCCCAGCAACATGAGCTCCAGGATGTCCCCCAGGCGGAGATGACTGAAGCCAGCGCCAAGGATCTAGTGGAGATCCTCACCACCCACTGCCCCCCAGCCTGGGTGGAGAGGGTGGCCGTAAATATCTTTGAGAACATCAACCGGGCTGACTTGGCCAAGACGGTGGAGGAGGAGCTAACTGGTCAGCAGGGAGGATCGGCACCAAGTCGGGGAGGGGGGGGGGAGGGGGGAGGGGGGAAGGCGCAGAAGGCATTAGATGGGCAGAGATGACAGAGCCCTTCGGGATCCAACCTTCCCGAGCACAAATGTGGCACCTTGAAGTCTGTGGACACCTGTCCTTCCGGCCTGTGGCTGGTGCCATGGCTTGTCTAACTCTGGTCTCGCATCTTCATTCTTTCTCCCTGTCAGCTGAAATGTGTTCACGATCCCATTCTCGATGTCATCTGGGATTTTCACTGTTCTCATTTTCCAGCACGCCCAGATTCCCTTCCTCCGGTGGCTAGTGTGAGGGCATGAACCGCCCTTGCCATGCCCCCAGCACAGGCCAGACAAGGAAGAAGGAGGAGCATATTACTCAGCCTTTAAAAAAAGAAATGATTGCCCTTTTTTTTTTTTTTTTTTTTTTTGTCTGTCATGGGGCTTGAACTCTGGGCCTGGGCGCTATCCCTCAGCTCTTCAGCTCAAGGTGAGTGCTCTACTGCTTGAGCCACAGTGCCACTTCCGGTTTTCTAGTGTTTTATTGGAGATAAGAGTCTCATGGACTTTCCTGCCCAGGGCTGGCTTTGAAGCTTGATCCTCAGATCACAGCCTCCTGAGTAGCTAGGATGACAGGCGTGAGCAACCAGTACCCAGCTGCTCTTTTTTTAAGTCTTTGACTTTCTTTTTTTCTTTTTCCTTTTTCTTTTTTTTTGTCAGTTGTGGAGCCTGAACTATAGGCTGGGACGCTGTCCCTCAACTCTTCAGCTCAAGACTAGCGCTCTACTACTTGAGCCACAGCGCCACTTCTGGCTTTTTCTGCTTATATAGTGCTGAGGAATAGAACCCAGGGTTTCAGGCATGCAAGGCAAGCACTCTACCACTAAGCCACCTTCCCAGCCCCGTGGCTGCTCTTTTTTCAAATGACCAATTTTCTTCCAGGTAGAGATCACTCCTTAACCTAATGTGGTCTGTCTTTTGGGGACAGGTGAGAGCTTCAGCCTCCTGCAGGCTACTGACCCCTGGAGATGAGGAATCTGGAGCTGGAGGGGGTACAGAGGGGGGCTTGTGACTGTGCCAGTGCCAGGTGTACACCATGCAAACATCCGGCACCCCTTCCTTTTTCAGACTCCTCCTCAAGCTCTTCTAGTGAAGCCGATCCAGAATTCAGTAAGTTAACCACACAGACAATTTTTCATGCCTTGTGTCTGATTGCAGCATGTGGTGGGGGGGGGGGGTCGCTTTTAATAATCCAAGATTTTACACTGAGTGACTAAGGTTGTAGGTTGTGTACTACGATGCGTGTGTGAATGTGTGTGCCCATTTGTACGTACATATGTGTGCACACAGTTTCACTCTGGAGCCTGGGCTGGCCACAAAGTCATGATTCTCTACCTGCCAAATGCTGGGATTACAGGCATGCACCTCCACAGTCTTTATTTGAACACAACGTATCCATTCAGTTTCATTACCTGTCATTGTGTCTGTGCTTTTAAAAGCACAAGGCAATATGGTCAGGGAGGCAGGAAATATTGTCTGAATTGAGTGGCTGACATCTGTAATCTCAGCTACTTGGTGGGAAGCAGAGGTCAGGAGGATTGTGGTTCAAGGCTAAACCTGGGCAAAACTTAGTGAGACAGCATCTTACCCAACAAGTGGGGATGGTGTACACGGCCATGATTTCAACTGCCTGAGAAATAACAGGAGGAAGATCCCAGTCCAGGGCATCCCTGAAAGGGACCAACACTGGACCCTATCCAAATAATAATAATAATAATAATAGCTAAAGCAAAAAAGAATGGGGGGCATGGCTTAAGTGGAATCTTGAGTTCTAACCCCAACATCACTGTCATCCTAGCTACTCAGGAGGCTGAGATCTGAGGCTCACAGTTCAAAGCCAGCCAATGCAGGGAAGTCTGTGAGACTCTTGTCTCCAATAAACCACCAGAAAACCAGAAGTGGCTGAAGTGGTAGAGCATTCTCCTTGAGCTGAAGAGCTGAGGGACAGCGCCCAGACCCAGAGTTCAATTCCCACACCTGACAAAAAAAAAAAAGTCACAGGAAAATAAAAAAAAAAAAAAAAAAGGGAAAGGAAAAGTTTTCTCATCCTGGCCAAAAGGCTTTGAGGGGTTAGTGATTTGACATCACAAATGTATTTAAAAATATGACTTGGGTGGCTGGGATGGTGGCTCAGTGGTAGAGTGCTTGCCTTGTATGCATGAAGCCCTGGTTCGATTCCTCAGCACCACATAAGCAGAAAAGGCCAGAAGTGGCGCTGTGGCTCAAGTGGTAGAGCACTAGCCTTCAGCTGAAGAGCTGAGGGACAGTGCCCAGGCCCAGAGTTCAGGCCCCATAATAGACAAAAAAAAAAAAAAAAAAAAAAAGACCTGACTTCAAATCCTTTTTTTTTTTTTTTTTTTTCCGGTCGTGGGGCTTGAACTCGGCCTGGGCGCTGTCCCTCAGCTCTTCAGCTTAAGGCTAGCACTCTACCACTTGAGCCATAGCACCACTTCCCATCTTCTGGTGGTTTATTGGAGATCAGAGTCTCACAGACTTCCCTGCCCAGGCTGGCTTTGAGCCTTGATCCTCAGATCTCAGCCTCCTGAGTAGCTGGGATGACAGACATGAGCCAGCAATGCCTGGCTCCAGATAGTATTGACTGAAGGGTGGTTTGGGCCATGGCCACTCTGTCTACAGTGGTTCTGTGGCCCCAGTGGGTACACGTGTCAGAACTGAGCATCAACGGTTCTTTGAGCACTGGCACCTGCCACAGCACAGGGCTCTCCAGCAATCCTACCCAGGCACCCCAGCCCACCACCTCCTTTTGTGTTTAATTCCAGACGTAGCCATGACTCTGGGAGGGATCCTGATGTCCCCACACGAGTGTTTTTTATTCCTGTGGAAACAAGCAAAGGTGAACAAGAGAAAACCAGGTTGGTCTCGAAAATGCAAGCAAACCCTCTTTCCTGCTCCAATCCCATTTCCCACATCATGAACAGAAGAGACGGGGAATCCCCGAGAGTATTAGAATTCAGCTGCCAGGGAGGTACAAGAATGCTGTCTAAGGTGTCCCTCAGACCCTGCCATTTCTACTTTTAGAATATATATATTTTTTGCCCCAGTCCTGGGGCTTGAACTCAGGACCTGGGCACTGTCCCTGAGCTTCTTTGCTCAAGGCTAGCGCTCTACCACTTGAGCCACAACAACACTTCCAGCTTTGTCTGTGTAGGTGGTACTGAGGAATTGAACCGGGCTTCATGCATGCAAGACAAGTACTCCACCACTGAGCCACCTTCCCAGCCCTAGAATTATATATTTTTTGCCATCTTCAAGTAGTAGTAGTACAAAGGAGTTAGCACTCCACAGATTGCCACAAACCAACTTATGAGTACAAGGCGTCTTAATGGACAGCATCCCTCCCTCCCTCCCTCCCTCCCCCATCCCTCCTCACTCCTCCCCTCCATTTTCTTTTCTTTTTTGGGGGGGAAGGGGGGTCTGGTCATGGGGCCTGAACTCTGGGCCTGGGTGCTGTCCCTCAGCTCTTCAGCTCAAGGCTAGTGCTCTACCACTTGAACCACAATGCTATTTCCGGCTTTTTTCTTTTTGCTTATGTGGTGCTGAGGAATCGAACCCAGGGCCTCATGCATGCAAGGCAAGCGCTCTACCACTGAGCCACCTTCCCAGCCCCTCTCCATTTTCTCAATTTCCCATGTTATGTAGAAAGTATTTATGGCTGAATTTTCTCGATGCCATCATCCCTTGACCAGTGGTGCAAGGGAGGTTCGTGGTGGTATTTCCACTCCTGTGTGCCAAGTACTTGAAGGGAGTACAAAGCAGTAGAAAAGAACGAAGATGAATAAAGAAAAAAAGCTGGAACTGTGTAATATTACTTGGGCATAAAGAAACAAGAAATCATAATATGTTCAGGAAAATGGATGCCACTGGGGATTTTCCCGGTGTTTTTGTTTTTCTTTGCAACTGAAACAATAGCAACTCACAGATGAGAAGGTGGAGACGTCTGTCACGTGTGGTCCAGAAAGAGTAGTGTCCTGACTAGTGTAACAGCATGTGGCTTTATTGAAGAATAACTTCGGAGCAGAGATTTTACTGCTCCATTTATCCATCCTGTCTGGTGCATTGTAGTGAGTTGACACTAGTGTCCGATGTCACCTTTCTACTACACCTAAATAGATCCTTTTTGTAGGTTTCCTAAGGAGTAACAGTACCATGCCCTGTCTGTCTGTCTATCTGTCTGTCTGTCTGTCTGTCTGTCTGTCTTTCTGTCTGTCTTACCTTCCTACCAATGTGGGTAGAAGACATATACAGAAAAATGGTGTTGAAGAAATTCCAGAGGTTGTGGGCTAACAACTTTTGGCCGGGGGAGTACAAGAAGTCCTACCTGCTCACAGAGAGCTACAGGAGCCTCCTCCGGCTGTGCGACCCCCTCCGGCGGCCAGGGCTCCTCGGGCCACGCACGGTGGTGCTGCAGGGACCCACGGGCGCCGGAAAGACCACGCTGGTGAAGAGGCTAATTCTGGACTGGGCCGAGGGACGCCTGGGCCCCGCCTTCCAGTGGGCCCATTACCTGAGCTGCAAGGAGCTGCGCCACCACCGGGTCAAGAACCTGCACCAACTCCTCTTCGAGGGCCTCCCAGACATGAACAAGGACGTGCTGCGGGCCCTGCTGGGCGCGGCCGAGGTGCTGCTCGTCGTGGACGGGTTTGACGAGCTGAGGTACGGGCCCGGGGAGATGATCCGGGGCATCTCCACGCACTGGGGGCAGCGCAAGCCGGTGCCGGTCCTGCTGAGCAGCCTGCTGAAGCGCATTCTGCTGCCCAACGCCACCCTGCTGGTCACCACGCGGCCCCGGGCGCTGCAGGAGCTGCTGCTGTTGCTGGAGCAGCCCGTCCTGGTGAACGTGGACGGCTTCTCGGAGACGGAGACGTGGGAGTACTTCCGCAGGCATTTCGGAGACCAGGCCCAGGCCCAGAGAGCCCTGGCGGCCGTGTGGAGCAACGAAGCCCTGCTAGCCATGAGCCGGATGCCCGCCGCATGCAGACTGCTGTGCGCGTGTCTGAAGCCGCTGCTGGAGGGGGGCGAGGACCCCGCGGCAGCCTGCCACAGCCCCACCGCCCTGATTCTCCGATTCCTCCACCGCCAGCTCCGCCCCAGGGGCCCAGCCCCGGCTGCCCAGCTGGAGACCCTGTGCTGCCTGGCCGCGCACATGCTGACCGCACAGCAGTCCACTTTCCACACCGGGGACCTCAAGAGACTCGGGATGCAGGAGGGCCACCTCCAGCCCTTCCTGACCAATCACATCATCCAGAAGGACTGGGGCTGCCGCTGGTGCTACCACTTCGTCCACTCCAGCGTCCAGCAGCTTCTGGCCGCCCTGTTCTACATCCTGAAGCCCCAGGACAGGGAAGGCCAAGGCCGCCAGCCCAGCAGCCGCGACCGGGAAGACGTGCGCAAGCTGCTCTCCCGAGAGGCGCGTGCGCGGAACCCCGACCTGGCCCAGGCCGGCCGCTTCCTGTTCGGCCTCCTGAACAGGAAGAGGGCCCAGGAGCTGGAGGCGGCCTTTGGCTGCCACATAGACCTGGAGATCCGACGGGAGCTGCTGGGGTGTGGGGCGGAGGAGAGCAGGCCCTTCCTCCTGCGGATGGAGCAGAGCGAGGTCTTTAGCTGGCTCTACGAATCTCAGGATGAGGAGCTGGCGGCGGAGGCGCTGGCGCCCTTTGAGGAAATGTCTGTGATCCTGAAGAGCCGCCAGGATCTCCTGCACGCGTCCTTCTGCCTCAAGAACTGTCCGGGCCTGCGCAGGCTCACGGTGCAGGTGGCCAGGGGGCTGTTCCCGGAGGACGGTGTTCAGCTGCCATCCACGGCTCAAGGCCACAGGTAAGAATTCTGCTCTCAGCCAGGGGCCAGTGGCTCACGCCTGTCATCCCAGCTACTCAGGAGGCTGAGATCTGAGGATCTCAGTTCAAAGCCAACCCCAGGCAGGAAAGTCTGTAAGACTCTTATCTCCAGTGAGCCACCAAAAAGACCAAAAGTACATCTGTGGCACAAAGTGGTAAAACGCCAGCCTTGAGCTCAGACTCTCAGGGACAGCACCCAGGCCCTGAGTTCAAGCCCCAGAACCGGCACACATACACAAAAATTTTGTTCTCCCCTGCTTGGGAGATTAGCCTCCAGCCAATTCCCCCAGGGTCTCCCATCCTTCATCTCATCCCAAGGTTTCTAGCCGAGAGGCCCAGATGCTTCTAGCTCGCTGACTCATGTTCAGAATGTTCCCTCACGCCTACTTTCCTCCTGTTAAGGTTCTGGGCAAGGCCCGGGGAGGCACTGGGCCAGAGGCACTCTGGAGGGGGGCTATCTCTCCTCCACTGGCTGTCTCTGTGTCCTTCCCAAGTCACCGTCCCCATTTGTCCTCACCTCTAGCAGAACATTAAAGCTTTGTCCATGAGGAATGAACATGGATCATTGTTTTCTTTTTCTCGGTCCTCAGGGTTGCTTCATGAATCACTCTTGTTCACAGGCCCGAGGATGACCAGGTCCTGCTTGCTCTCTGGACAGATCTTTGCGCCATGTTTTTCTCAAACCAGAATCTGAACAGACTGGACATCCACCACAGCTGCCTGAGCTACTCCTCCGTGGCGGTTCTGTGTGAACACTTGGCCTCTGCCTACAGTCTCCAGGAGGTGGTGTAAGTCAGCTGACCACTCCCCCCCCAGTCAGGAGTCCCATGGGGGCCACCAAGACTCTCATGAGTGTGATATAGGCAGAATATTCTAGAATCCAAACCAGGTACCCCAAGTTATAGGAAATGGAGATGCTCTGGGTCCTTAACTTTGTCAAGAGGGAGCATCTCTCGGAGTCATTGTTTGTGCCCTGCTGGGGATTGAGCCCAGGCCCTCATGCTTGCCAGGCCAGTGTTCTTCCATGTGAGTGATTCACCCAGCCCTGTATCAAACTAAAAACCAAGCTGAGCATTGATGGCTCATGCCTGTAATTCTAACAGCTCAGAAGGCTGAGATCTGAGGATTGCAGTTCAAAGCCAGCCCAAGCAGGGTAGTCCAGCAAACTACCAGAAAACTGGAAGTGGTCCTGTGGCTCAAGAAGTGATAGAGCACCAGCCTTGAGGGGGAAAAGTCAAAGGCCCAGCTGGGCGCCGGTGGCTCACACCTTTCATCCTAGCTATTCTAGAGGCTGAGATCTGAGGATCATGGTTCAAAGCCAGCCTGGGCAGGAAAGTCCATGAGACTTTTATCTCCAATAAACCATGAGAAAACCAGAAGTGGCACTGTGGCTTAAGTGGTAGAGCACTCACCTTGAGCTAAAGAGCTGAGGGACAGCACCCATGTCCAGTGTTCAAGCACCGTGACCAACAACAAAAAAAGAGTCAAAGGCCCCAAGTTCAAGCCGTGTGTGTGTGTGTGCACCCACACACACACACACACACACACAAATATTGTAAAGTTTTCAAGCTAAACTATATTGCAGCCCTTTGTTCCCTACTTAATGTACAATAAGAATACAAAAACTCTAGCTTCTCTTCTTCGTTTTCTGTTCCCTAGCCTCAGTAATATTTCCCCGGCCGAGGCGCAGCTCAGCCTGTGCAGCTGCCTCTGTTGTTCTGAGGCCCTCGTGAACCTGACCCTTCAAGGGGACAGCCACAGGGACCTGCTGCCCTTGTTGAGCCAAGTCCTGATTCACCCAAAATGCCACCTGCAGGACCTCAGGTACCCCACCCGCCACCCCCTGCTCACTCATCAGCCTGCCAGTGTAAGCCAGCCAAGGTCAAGGATGGTGTCTTGGAGAGCAGGCCAGAGGCAGAGGGCAGTGAGGATTCCACTGAGTGTGGTCCTTGAGTGGAAACAGTGAGGCTGTGCAATGACTCTAGGGAGGAAGGGTGTGAGATTCTGGTCTCCAATGAACAGGAAGCAGAGCTGTGGCTCATGCAGTAGAGCACAAGCCTTGAGCAAAACAGCCAAGTGAGAGTGCGGGGCCCTGAGTTCAGGCCCCAGTATTAGTGCACATGTGTGCACACGCACACATGCATGCACACACACACAAAGTTATGACTAGCTGGCCTCTGCCCAGAGGCAAAACAGCTGCAGATTTGCATTTCTAGTCGGTGTTGCCATCTGCAGTCCTAGGACCACAGTGTGACATCCACAGTGTGACATCTACAGTGTGACTCTGCATCCCTGTGTCACACTGTGCCACCCGGGGCAACCAGGGCCTCAGATCACCAGGGCGGTGGTGCATAGCAATGAGTTCAAGCATGAACCAAGAAGGCACTCCACAGGTGTTGGAGGCTGAAGCGTGACTGGCCTCCACTTCTCCCTCAGGCTGGGGGCTTGCTCGGCCACATTTCAGCAGTGGGCTGACTTCTTCTTGACCATCCAAGCCAGCCCCCTGACGGGCCTGGACCTCTCCAACAATGAGATCCTGGACCGGGGTGCCACGCTGCTGTGCGAGACCCTGAGGCGGCCAGAATGCATCCTGCAGAAGCTGACGTGAGTCTCAGGCTGCACCCAGGCTACAGAGAGAGCAAGACACAGGAGTGGGGGGAGGGGGGGGCCTTCTCCCCCCCTCCATCGTTGCTCCCAGCCTGGGATGGAGATGGGGCTGACATCCACAGGGGCCCAGAAGGCTGACGGGGGGGGGGGGGGGGAATGGTCTCACCGCCCTCCCCACCCCCATCCCATGCACCCCTCCAACAGCCTGGAGAACTGCGGGCTCACACGGGCCTGCTGTGAGGATTTCCTCTCCACCCTCATCGTCAGCCAGCAGCTGACGCACCTGAGCCTGGCCAACAATGACCTCGGGGATGACGGGGTGAAAATCCTGTGTGAGGGCCTGAATCACTCCAACTGCCAACTGCAGAGCCTGGTGTGAGTCCCCACGGTGTTGGTGGAGGGTACACACACACGGGGAGTGGGGGGTCCATGTGGACTGGGAATGGATCTGAGGACTTATGTGCACGTGCTAAGCCACTCTACCCTTAATGGCTGCCATCTGACTCAGGTTTATCAGGGTTCTGGAGGGCACCCATCAGAAATGGTTGTTACTTGGGGCTGGGAAGGTGGCTCAGTGGTAGAGCGCTTGCCTTGCATGCATGAGGCCCTGAGTTCGATTCCTCAGCACCACATAAGCAAAAAGAAAAAAAGCCAGAAGTCGTGCTGTGGCTCGAGCGCTAGCCTTGAGCTGAAGAGCTGAGGGACAGCGCCCAGACCCAAAGTTCAGGCCCCACGACCGGGCCCAAAAAAAAAAAAAATGGTTGTTACTGGGCTCTTTTCTAGCACCCCATCCCTCCTTCCTCCCTGGTCCACTGCCCCCTCCTCTGGTCTCAAGGCCAGCAGCAAAGGGTCTGGTCCCAGAATCTCTCTCCGACATCACATTCTTTTCCTGAGGACTCTCACACTCGGCCTCCACATTTACAGACCTCATGATAGCACCAGACCCTGCCAAGAGTCAGGCAGGCTGCCCCGCCTACCTCCCACCCTCAGGCATGGTCCTCCCTTCTGGGCACTGCTCTCTGTTTGCTGATGCCAGGCAGGCCTGGGAGCTGTCCATCTTTAAGGGAGACACTCCCTCAGCTGTCTCCCCCCCCCCCCCAACTCTGATGGTGTTCCTGCATCTGGGCTCTGGAGCTTGAGTCAGACCCACAGCTTGGGGTGCATAATGATGGCCTTGTGCCTCATACAGGCCAGGACTTACCAGGTGCCCTGTGTATGTCCCCCCCAGACTGTGGCACTGCAACGTGGGCAGTGACGGCTGCGTGCACCTCTCCCAGCTCCTCCAGCAGGGGGCGAGCCTCAAGTACTTGGACCTGGGCCTGAACCAGGTGGGAGACTCCGGCATGAGGGCCCTGTGCCAGGCCCTGAAGAGCCCGCAGTGCGGCCTCAAGTGTCTATGGTGAGTGAGGCTTGGGGCAGCCCTTCGGCTGGGGGTGACCTGTCCTTCCCTGCCCACAGGGGGACAGTGCTCCAGGCGGACCCACCACGGTCCACCACGGTCCACCACGGACCTCGCGTGCAAAGGGTTGACTCACCAGCTCTTCCTGGTCTCTGCCCAAAAGCGCTGGCCGAATCCCCACGTGGCCCCCGTCTCACCCGCAGGCTGTGGGGCTGCTCCATCACTTCTACCAGCTGCGAGGAGCTCAGTGAGGCCCTTCTAGGAAACCAGAGGCTGGTCACCCTGGATCTGGGACAAAATACCTTGGCGTTTGACGGATTAATGCTGCTGTATACAGCCTTGCAATTTCAAAGGTGCTCCCTGCAGATACTCAGGTATGCGGTGACTCCTCCCTCTTCTTTTGGAGGGGGCGGCGTGTGGGACAAGGGGAGTGGTGGCATTGTTTGAGGCACCGTGACATCACTGGCACTCAGCCTCATCCATCTGCACGCAGCCCAGGGTTGATCGTCCATTCCTTTCATCCCACGGATGGCCAAGGTGAGTCTGGAATGAAGCCGGTTCTCAGTGGGAAATCCAGATTTCCTAGATTTTCACCCAGGGGAGCAGCGGTGCTTGGCCACCATCTCCTTAGGGAAATCACAACACAGGGCTCATCCAGTGCTTTGGGTACTGGCATCAGCCCTGGAAACCATCTCTCCACAAAGTCTCAGATGCAACAAAGATGACTGGTGACTTAACATCCTAATTATGTAGAAGGAACATAGATGGTATGTTCACAGTGATCTCAGCCTTAAGGTGGCTTGTGAGTCAAAAGGACACAATCCACCAGGTGCCATTATAGGTGGCTCACACCTATAATCCTAGCTACTCAGGAGGTTGAGATCTGAGGATCACAGTTCCAAACCAGGTCAGGCCAAAAAGTCCATGACTCTTGTCTCCAGTTAATCACCAAAAAGCTGGAAGTGGAGTTGTGGCTGAAGGGGTAAGAGCACCAGCTTTGAGCACAAAAGCTCAGAGACAGAGCCCAAGCTGAATTCCAGACTGGTGTCTCTTGTCAGCTGAAACACAATGCAATCACCACCCAAGGTTGCAGTGTGGGGTTCTGTGTCATCAGTGTCCATTAGACATCACCCATCTCCCTACAAAGCCAACATGGAACCCTGTGTCACTGCACAGAAGAATCAAGACGGGGCCAGTGCTATATAAATGAGATCTGTGACATTGTCTAACCACGAGAGCTTTATGAACTTGGGAATTTGGGATGCATCTTCCTAGAGCAGTATTAACCATTTTCCCCCCTTCCCGTGTCATATGTCCCAGGTTGAAAATAAATGAAGCGAATCCTGAAGTGAAGAAGCTGATAAAAACAATACAAAACGTCAACCCCCAGCTGATTGTTGACAGTGACCACCAAAACCCCAGGAAAAGGAGACCTGAGGATTTCCCTGCTTGAGCCAGCAAAAACCATCCATCCTCCGAGGTCAGAGGCCTCTACCCACGGTGAACATCACACATGGACGAGCTGGGCGAAGTCCAAGCCTTCTTTCTCCCCTAGTGAATGTAAAATGAGCACATGTCACTTGACACTATTGGGTGTGAAATGTCTTAGCACTAATATGCTGAGGGAAATAAAAGCAAGCACGTTCATGAATAGAGACTGTGTTTCCTCATGGATTCTTGTTTTGGGGGGTTTTTTGGTCAGTCGTGGGGCTTGAACTCTGGGCCTGGGCACTGTCCCTGAGCTCTTCAGCTAAAGGCCAATGTTCTACCACTTGAGCCACAGTGCCACTTCCGGTTTTCAGTGGAGATAAGAGTCTCAGGGACTTTCCTGCCTGGATTGGCCTTGAACCATGATCCTCAGATCTCAGCCTTCTGAGTAGCTAGGATTATAGGCATCACCAGTGGCACCTGGTTGAGAGGAGATATTTTATTTGAAAAGAACTCTGCCAGGGTAAAAGAATGTAGTAAGTGTTCGACTTCACTGAGTATGGTTTCTACCAATCTTCACTTGATTCTGTATTTTTTTTCATTGTATTGAGCATAAAATCTGGGTCTTTGCACATATTAAGCAAGTACTCTAGCACTCAGCTACATCCCTAGCCAATTCTGGTATATTTGGACCTACACAGATAACTGCCTGACAAATACTCAACCAAATAGTTCTACAAACCCACAATATTTGGAACTTTTTCTTTCAGCTAGGGTATTGAACCCAGGGTCTCACACATGCTAGACAAGTACTTTACCGTGGAGCTGCACCCCCTAGCTCAATTTTGGACCCTATCATTGCCTCTTTGTTCTTGCAAAACAAGGTACAACAGCTCAGGGACAGCACCCAGGCTGAATTCTTAGACTGGTGTCTCCCTTGACCTAAGCACAATGCAATCACTGCCCAAGGCTGCTGCGTGGGGTTCTGTGCCATTACGGTGTCAGCTAGTATTCACCCATCTCCCTACAAAGCCAACATGGATCTCTGTGTCACTGCACAGAATAATCAAGCAGGAAACCAACACACAATAAATGAGATCCATGACAATGCCCTAGCATTTTCAATAACATCGTGAACACCTGAGTAATAGCAGTGCTGGTTTTTTTAACAAATCCCAACAGGGCACTGGTACTAGATTCCTTTGGGCCTGTTAACCACAGGTTGAACAGTTAAAACAATTCTGAGACTTTTCTATCCTAGTTCTGCTTACCACTCACAAATCACAAATTAGCTTCCATTTCCAGGGAGGTGGCAATCCCAGGATGCTGGGCCCAGTGACAGTGAAAGGGAAATTCTTCTAGAATAATCCCAAGTGACTCTAGGACAGGTAGCCCCACACAGAAATAAGAAGTGGGGAGCAGGGATTTTTCTAATAATATTTATTGAGGCAAAGTTCATGTAACATGAAATTAACCTTAATTTTTTTTTTTTTTTAGGTCCGGTCGTGGGGCCTGAACTCTGGGCCTGGGCACTGTCCCTCAGCTCTTCAGCTCAAGGCTAGCGCTCTACCACTTGAGCCACAGCGCCACTTCCGGCTTTTTTCATTTTGCTTATGTGGTGCTGAGGAATCGAACCCAGGGCCTCATGCATGCAAGGCAAGCGCTCTACCACTGAGCCACCTTCCCAGCCCTAACCTTAATTTTTAACTCACACAAACAGGCCTCCCTCAGACTCAGTGGACAGACAATGGGGAGATGCCAGCACTACTCTTTGATGGGACAGAGGAGGGCAGGGTGCCCTGCCTTCCTCTCGACCCTGAAGCCCTTCACCCCCACTCCTCCCGCCACCTCCCCACCCACAGCCCCTCTGGGCTCTGATGACTGCCGAGAGCTAACGGTGGTATCTATGTTTCTGCACATCTGACTCCTCCTCATGCGGGCAGCCATGGGATCTGGGGGTCTTTGGGAGCAGTGGGAGGGGCCTCTGCACAGCTCTGACTCTGCAGCAGGGTTTTCTTCCGGCTGTGCCAGTCCTCTGCCAGGAACCCTGCCAGGAGTGCCAGAATTGTGACACCAAGACATATCCGGATCAGGTTCCCCTTGGTGTAGTCCTGGCGGGCAGGACCTGGCAGGAAGAAAGGTGGGAGCAGGTGACAGGAAGAGGGAGCAGGTAACTGGCAAAGGCCATCTTCTAGCCCAGCCTGGCTTCTCACAGTCAGCTGTCTCTGATCTGAGAACCTCCTCCACTGGCTGAGATGCCTATTTCCTTCCCACCAAAGCCAGCACTGGGCCAGCTCCATGTCAACACGGTGCCCTTCCCATGTGTGACATACAGGCCTCCTACAGCCCCTCTTCCCCTAGACACATATTCTACCTGTCACCTGACTGAGAAGAAAGTTACAAGGCTGTGGAGAGAAAGGAAACTTCTTCCTCTGACTCTTACTGAAAATCTTGACTTACCCACAAAATCCTTGACCAATTTTGGACTCCTCTTTCATTTTTTGGCTAGTCCTGGGGCTTGAACTCAGGGCCTGAGCACTGTCCCTGAGCTTCTTTAGCTCAAGGCTGGCACTCTACCACTTGAGCCACAGCACTACTTGTGGCTTTTTCTGTGTACTCAGGGCTTCATGCATGCGAGGCAAGGACTCGACCACTAAGCCACATTCCCAGCCTGATTTTGGACTCTTTATGCTAACATTTCACCCTCTCTCTCTAATGTTTTGCCTAGCAGAACCCAAGAAGATCAAGCTTCACCCCGTACCAGGAAAGGACTCTGTTCTAGGTAAAGACATGGAGGCCAAGAGGGGAGATGCACTTACCAAGTGTAGGGCTGGAGCCTTCTGAAGATAAAGTGAGGTCTGCAGACTTCCCTAGGAATCCAGAAAGCCGGGCTATGAACAAACGGAACCATTTCTCCTTTCTAGATGTGAACATACGTGCCTAGCAGGCAGCACCCCAGGACAGCATGAACTACAGAGTCAGGCTGCTCCAATCCAATCCTTTCTTTCTTTCTTTCTTTCTTTTTTTTTTGGGTCTGGTCGTGGGGCCTGAACTCTGGACCTGGGCACTGTCCCTCAGCTCTTCAGCTCAAGGCTAGCGCTCTACCACTTGAGCCACAGCGCCACTTCCAGCTTTTATTCTTTTTGCTCTTGTGGTGCTGAGGAATCGAACCCAGGGCCTCAGGCATTCAAGGCAAGCGCTCTGCCACTAAGCCACCTTCCCAGCCCCCCCAACCCTTTCTTAAGGAACAGAAGACACAGGAAATGGAGGGAAAGACAAGAACAGGCAACCTGGGGACCCTGGAGTCTGGAGTGGCTGAGTGGCTGGGACCCACAGAAGGGTCACATGGAATCCAGCCAGTCTATGTTCTGAGGGAAAACTAGAAGACTTCAGACACTGAGGACACTGAGAATGGGAAGAATCTGACCATAGCATTAGGAAGAACTTTCTGAGCTCAGGAGCCTAAAGGCATCCAGGGCCATGTGGGCCTGGTGGAGACATCCAAGCTAGCCCCAGGGGTCTGTCTTGCAGGGCTAGCACAGGCTCCACACAGAGATGGGATCACATGTGAGCACTTCCTTCAGAGAACAACGTGCAGGGAGGGGTGAGCTTGCTGTCTGCCATCTTGGAGACGGCCAGCCTACCCAGAATGCTCCTCTACATTGGCTTCAGTGTCTTCCTCCTGCCCATCCTCTGCCTTCAGTGAGAAGTGTGATATATATAACCAGATAGACCTGTATTTGCCATTTTGTATTAGACCCGCTTGAAGAATGCAGCTGCTATTCTACCTGCCCTTGAGCCCCAGACACTCCCGGATCTGGAGCTTAAATTAACAACGCTCTGGCAGGGAGTACCTGACAAAGTACACATTCCAGACCCCTTTCCCGGGCCTAGGATCGGAGATAGTGGCTGCCTGGCAACCACTTCCCCTGGGTCGGGGTCAGAGATAATGGCCATCTGGCAACCACTTCTCCTAAGTTACCCTAGAAGTACCGTCTAATTAGTTTAGAGCACAATAGCTCGTTAGCCTGATCAGTTATTAGCCCCAGCCCTTTTCCCGCTTTGTATTGCACCAATCATCCGCTAGAATTATGATTTAAATTTCCCGCGTGGTGTATTGATTCATTGCCAATACATACTGAGGCCTTACCCCTACCAAAGAACATATAACAGGTGCTGTAACTCTGTGCTGGGGGCCTCTCTCTGCACTCAGACATCAGTGCACAGAGGGGTCCGTGCTCAAGCTCATCAATAAATGACTTATTGCCGCTTGCATTGATCTTTGGTCCCTGGTGGTCTTTTGAGGCTCCAAGTCTCCAGGCATTACATCAGACTGAGCTTTCCCAGGATAGGGTCAGAGGCCCGAGGGAGCAGATTACAAGCACACAGTGCCACCAGCACACTCCTTTCTGCCCAGCTTTAAGTGTCCCATCACTTACCAGTTGTGGAAACTTCTGTGGCGAGTGAGATGACTGGATTCCTGGAGGCTTCTGTGATGGTGAAGGGAGTATCATCAGTTCTTTCCAGAAGTTTCTACGCTCCAGACCCCCCCTTTGGATACCTGGGCTCCCTAAACCTTCTTTCTCTGATGGCCCACTACCAGGCACAAGACAGATTCAAAAGAACCTGAGACTTAAGCCCCCGTCTCTCCATGGCTGGAAACAATTGGCACAGTCATGAACGGCAGACATGGAGATATCTCTTCTGAGGTTATTGTGATTTGAACACGGTCATGAACAGGATTTTGTGCAAACGTTAAGTGTTCAAGAAATGTAGACTGATGAGAGAGAGGGAAGAGGGATCCCATGCTCCAGCCAGCAGGAGCGGACCCTCATGAACTCACCAGGGGGGAAGGACTGGGGCTCTATGGGCAGCTGCCCAGGGATCACAGAGGCTCCTGGGAAGGTGGAAAAGGAAAGAAGTTTGTGCTCTGCCAGCCATGGGACCTGGAAAAACCATGCAACATTCCTGATGCCTGGCTTAGTTTCCTTACATAGAGAATGAGTACAGAGAAGCTTCTAGACAGATACAAAAAGCTGCTAAGAGGAATCAGGGAGTTAAGAGTGAATGATTAAATCCAAACCAAATACCGTATGTACGCGCATATAGTGCCACAGTAAAACCCTTTGAGCAATGAGAAAACGCTGAAAAAGACAATCAATGACAGGATGTAAAATAGGTTGAGCCTGGGATCGGGTAGAAGTGGAGACAGGAATTGAGGGAGAGGGCGAAGGAGGGTAAACATGGTTTACTTCATGTCCATGTGTGCAATGGAACAGGGAAGAGTTCCAAGGTGGATCTGGGGAGAGGGAAGGGGGATGAGTCTGATCAAAGAATATGGGTACATCCAAGCAAAACTCTCTTGAACAACTAAACTAATAGATGCTCTTTATACTCTACAATTGTCATAGTAGAAAAGCATATGCTGTGTCTTTCCTCTTGTTCATTAGTTAATTCTTATCTTGCTGCTGTGATTAGAACCCAGGTGGATGCTCCTAGCGTGAGTTCTACCGCTGAGCTGCAACCCCGCCTGTACCTTTATTTTACTTTTGTATTTTTTTTGTCGGTCGTGGGGCTTGAACTCTGGGCTTGGGCGCTGTCCCTGCGCTCCTCAGCTCAAGGAGAGTGCTCTACCGCTTGAGCCACAGAGCCACTTCCTCGTTTTACTTTTAGTCATGGTTACAATATCATACATTAAGTGTACCACTTTACTTGGGTTACCAAAAACGAACAAAAAAATCACTTCTTTAATAATGTTTGTTTCTGTTCTCTAAAAAATTAAGATTACACAGTCCAGAAGCACCAGAAAATGGGGGGGGGGGGGGAGTAATAACTCTTCACTAATTTTGATTCCCTAATAATTACCACTTGGTGTTTGTTTTTAGCAAACTGGATGATTCATTTTTATTTGGATTGTGTTACATCCTTGGAATTACACTGAAAAAGAACTATTAAAAGATATAAAACCAGCCAGGCACCAGTGGCTCATGTCTATAATCCTAGATACTCAGGAGGCTGAGATCTGAGAATCATGGTTCAAAGCCAGCCCAGGCAGGAGAGCCCATGAGACTCTTATCTCCAATGAACCACCAGAAAACCAGAAGTGGCATTGTGGCTCCAAGTGGCATAGTGCTAGCCTTCAGCTGAAGAGCTCAGGCACAGTACCCAGGGCCAGAGTTCAAGCTGTATGACCAACAAAACAGCAACAATCTGATATAAATGCAATGATTCGCTGTGAGCAGGAAGACTGAAGAAGGATCCAGGTTTTACAGTAATGGTTTTCTCAGATCCTGACACAGGTCTGTGAAGGCCAGGCAGAGGCCTGGGTCTGCAGCCCTCACCTGTGACAGTGAGCATCAGGGGCTCGCTGGGAGCAGACCACAGGTACGGTTCTCTGCTGGAGAAGCTGTAGCAGCGGTAGGCCCCACTGTGGGCAGCTGTCACAGCGGCCATGAGGAAGTCAGGCTGGGACAATCTCCTGAGCACCTCGTGGGATCCTCTGTCCCCCTCCTTGGACAATGCGAACTGGTTAAAGCCATATCTGGTCTGACACTGTAGGGTCACATTCCCTCCTGGGGAAACGGAGGGCCCAGGATGAGCCAAGAGCGAGGGCCTGGTATAAACTCCTGGGAGGGAAGAGGGTTTAGTAAAGATGGGCCCAGGGCCTCCCTTGTGGAGCAGGGATGCCCCCCACCTCACCTACCATTCAGCTCAGGAACTTCCTGCTGTCCCTCCCTTCCACAGCCCCCCCCCCCCGCCCTGTCCCAGGGGGTCACCTCCCTCCTAGGGGTCACCACTTCCCATACTTAGAATGTCCAAGAGGACATGGCTGCACTCACGCCACAATGCCTACATTGAGAGACATTCCCCTCAATGAGTTTTTGGGTTTGGATTTTGTGCCAGTCCTGGGGCTTGAACTCAGGACCTGGGTGCTGTCCCTGAGCTTTTTTGGCTCAAGACTAGCACTCTACCACTTGAGCCACAGTGCAACTTCTGGCTTTTTCTGTGTATGTGGTGCTGAGGAATCTAACCCAGGGCTTCATGCTGGGAGGCAAGCACTCTACCACTGAGCCACTTTCCCAGCCCTTACATACAAACTTTGGTTTTTTTTGGTCAGTTGTGGGGCTTGAACTCTGGGCCTGGGCACTGTCCCTCAGCTCTTCAGCTCAAGGTGAGCACTCTACCACTTGAGCCACAGCACCACTTCCGGTTTTCTATGGGGGAGGGGGGGAGAGGAGGGGTGTTGGAGATAAGAGTCTCATAGACTTTCCTGCCCGGGCTGGTTTTGAACTGTGATCCTCAGATCTCAGCCTCCTAAGTAGCTGACAGGTATGAGCCACGGGCGCCCAGTCACAGAAACTTTTTACCCTCCCCCAGCCCCAGGGCTGAGTCTGAGTAGCCGGGGTCTGGCAGGCACCTCCCACACTCCCCTCCAGTCACCAGTGGCGATGAGCTCCAGCTGGGTACTGGGCGGGGACCAGAGGCTCCCATTCTGGTAGGAGCAGCGGTAGCGCCCAGCATCGCTTCTGCTCATGATTGAGATGGAGAGAGAGTCCTGGTCTGCAAACATCTTGGACCTCAGCTTCTCCAGGCGGTACCCATCCACGGGCCATGGGCCCTGACAGAGGATGGTCACCGAGCCGCCCAGGGGCACCAGGCTGCTGGGCAGAGCCTGCAGGGAAGGCTTAGGGAGCAGGCCTGGAAAGCAAGCATAGGATGGAGGTCAGCCCACCGCCAACAGGGTGCCTCTCCCAGGGTCCCACATCTGGTGGACCCAGAGGAAGCATCCCAGGAGTAAGGGAGAAGAACTCACCGCTGTGGGCCGTGATGAAGTGCCCAAGACACAGTCCTGAGGAAAGAAGGACCAGCATGGTGACCACATGCATCCGCATTCTCCTCTACACAAGGAATTGTGGGGCATGGAGGAAAGTGGGAGCCTACGCGAGTGTACATCCTCACCAGGGGCTAGACCTCACAACTTGGAATAGCTCAGACAAAACATACCACCTCCCTGGGCCTCCAATTTCCCACACAAAAGGCGACCAGCCCTTCAAGGTCCCTGCTACGCCTGAATTCACCACGGAAGCAGTTTGTTTGGCCTTTGGTGGGGAGCACTGGGCCCCTCCTGCGGCCCTTCCCAGGACTCACCAAGGCAGACGAGGGCTCTCAGGGATGGTAACATGGCTGCCTGGCCTGTCCTGAGCTCTGCGGCGGCCAAAGAGGGAGGAAGGCTGGGAGCTGGGAGCAGAGGGCAGGAGGAGGGGATGGGAGATGGCCTCCTCCCTTCCTCCCCAGCCCTGGCTCTCCCTGACCGATGCTAATCAAGCCAAGCCTGTCCCTGTGGCAGGAAGACTTGCACACAAACCTCAAGGGGCTCCACTTATCTCCTCTGGGCAGCCTGGTATCCCATCATCCTCTGCCTCCCAGAGTGGCGTCTTTGTCCCCCCCACACTCCCCACAGCCACTAGAGAAATGTGCTTTGCACCTTGAGAGATGCCTGTGACAATGTGTTTGTTTTTTGCCAGTCCTGGGGCTTGAACTCAGGGCCTGGGCGCTGTTCCTAAGCTTCTTTGGTTCAAGGCCAGGGCTCTACCACTTGAGCCCCAGTACCACTTCCGGCTTTTTTCTGCGTATGTGGTACTAAGGAATCAAACCCGGGCTTCACGCATGCTAGGCAAGCACTCTACCACTGGGAGCCACCTTCCCAGCCCTGAACTAATATTCTAATCTGGAAAATGAATGCTGATGAGGCTGTGGAGGCTCTGGGGCCCTGGTGCTGTGGCTATAACATGGCACAGCCCCTAGGGAAGAGCATTTGGGCCCTCAAGAGTGAACCGTGCTCAGCATGTGGATGTCTGAATGCTTCTCTGAGCGTATCCTCTGTGCTCACCGCTGAGCCACACTGGGGGTGCACCAGCAGGGGCCACAGCCCCCACCTCACCCCCCTCCTAGTCTGGACAGGGCAGCCACCCCAAGCCTCTGGCTCCTGGGGGCCATAGGACTCAGAGCTCCATCTCTGGCATCCGTGTTCTAAATTACAGAGCTTTCAGGAGGTCCCTGGATTCTGCGCCCTGTCAAGAGACTATCACACCTAACAGGGACGTACCTAAGACTGGACCTCAGTGGCCGCTGCAGAGACATGGCCTCCACCTCCTCCAGGCTCCAGCACCGGCTGCATTAGCCCCTGTGACAGTGTCAAAGGGAGCACACAGCCGTCCTTCCCCCATGCGCGGAGAACAGGACCCACGACTCCAAGACACCTTGGGGATTTTTATTACTAAAAATGAAGTCTGAGGTTGGAGCAACCACAGGAACTGGAAGGAGGTCGTGATCGCGGCCCGCCACGGGGCAAACATGGGTTTCAGTCCCTGTGGTCCTGGGGGCCCTGTGGTACCAGGCTGGGTCTGCGTCCACCTCCTTTAGGAACCCAGGCCCTGGGCCAGAACAGCGGGGCCTGGGCATGATGCCCATGGATGCCAGCTCCCTTCACCACACCTGCAGTCAGACCTCAAGCTCTCCACACTTGTTCTGCAGAGCCCCAGTTCAGAGAAGGTGCTGGAGGCCACACAGGAGTCCACCACCCCAGCCCCTGCCACCTGAGGGGCCTCCTCCCCTTCAGATGTCAGCAGGGCACACACCAGCCAGCCGGCACCCACCTGCAGTCTAAACCACTGGGCCAGATAGGACAGAACCAACACTGCCCCAAGAGGACAAAGCGGGAGCACAGCAGCATCTCCAGCCGGAAGGCTGGCTCACCTCACTGCTGCCGTGCCCCCTGGAGGAGGATGGCAGTGTTGCCACAGGTCTGTCCTGGGTCAGACCCAGTGGAAGTCACCTGGACTGGACCTGTCCCCTCCCAGGGGACCAATGGGACACATCCAAGCCCACCAAGCGGGCACTTTCAGCCCAAAGCCTCCAAGCTACTTCCTCGTCTTCGGCCTCAGGGGCTGGCACCTTCTCTTTGAATCCATCAAAGTATTTTCCGGAAACGCCCTCCAGCTCCTCTGCCACGGCCAGGTATGTGCTGGGCTGGGCCGCCAGCTGGGGGCTCTTGAAGAGCAGCCAGAAGAAGGGCCCTGCGACCAGCACACGGGCACTCAGTCCACGCAGCCTCCACCCACAGAGGCCCTGGGACCCCAGAGCCCATCCCAGGCCACTGGCCCACCCCAGGGACCAGCCCAAAACCTGAAGCCCTGAAGCCTGTAGAAGGCCAGCCCATTTCCTGTCCCATCCCCCTGAAGACAATTTTGACCTAGTAAATGCACCTCGTGCATTAAAAGTCTTGGTCCCACTAAAAACTCCTACGAGTAACAAGGCTTGGTTTGGGAGGGTTTCTCGGGGGGGGGGGGGGGGGGGGGGCGTCCAGTTGTGGGGCCTGGCACTGTCCCTCAGCTCTTCAGCTCAAGGCTAGCACTCTACCACTTGAGCCACAGTGCCACTTCCGGCTTTTTACTTTTTGCTTATGTGTGCTGAGGAATCCAGGGCCTCAGGCATGCAAGGCAAGCGCTCTACCACTGAGCCACCTTCCCAGGCTTGGTTTATTTGGCCTATACTGCACCCTGGGCCAGGCCCCAGCACAGGAGGGTCTCATTTGGCTGAGACTGTCAGGTAGGTCCTATTCTGGTCCTGGCTGTAGATGAGAAACTGAGGTTCCAAGCCAGGAGGGGGAGGGGGAAGGGGGATACCGAGCAGGGACTCACCAAGCAGGGAGCTGGAGAAGGCAGACTTGTGCATGCCCGTGTGCCGGCCCAGCTCTGTCCTGGCCACGCCAGGGTGCAGGGCATTGGCAGTCACGCCTGTGCCTGTGGAAATACACAGTGGGGGTGAAAAGGAGGTGGACACCAGGTTCACCCCTCCCTGGGAGGCCCTGCAGCCCACACGGTACCCGTGCCATCCTTCCTCTGGGACCTGTGTCAAGTAGCTCCCTTTTACAAAGCAGCTGTGCTGGGCTGGGAAGGTGGCTCAGTGGTAGAGCACTTGCTTTGCATGCATGAGGCCCTGGGTTCGATGCCTCAGCACCACATAAGCAAAAAGAAAAAAGCCGGAAGTGGCGCTGTGGCTCAAGTGGTAGAGCGCTAGCCTTGAGCTGAAGAGCTGAGGGACAGCACCCAGGCCCAGAGTTCAGGCCCCACGACCGGACCCAAAAAAAAAAACAAAGCAGCTGTGCTACATGGCCACCCACCCAACACAGCTGCCTTGGACACAGACTGGTGTAAGGCACAGTGGTGAACCCCACACCTGGATTCAGCACGGGAGTCACCAGGAGCATCCCCTCCCACATCCAGCTATGATAACCATGGCCACAGACATGCCACATGTGTCCTAGGGACCAAAATCACTCCCAGGTGAGAACCACTGGCTTAGAAGCCTGTCCATGACAGGCTTGGTGATGGCTACTCATTAGAACAGTGACTGATTGGTGATGTCTGCCTTGGGTATAGAGGTGGGCATGTGGTAAGGTTGATTAGTGATGCCTGCCTTGGGCACAGAGGTGGAGATGTATTATAACTGATTATTGATGCCTGCTTTGGGCACAGAGGTGGGCATGTGATGTGACTGATTAATGAAGCCTGCCTTGAGCACAGAGGTGGGCATGCAGTGTGATTAGTAATGTCTGCCTTGGGCACAGACATATGAGAGCCACCTCTTTACACCATCTGGAATTACTGCCTGTCTTATCAGCCAAGAGTCTCAGAAGAGATGTTCCAGGAGGAGGAAGACAAGTGAGGCGGGGCACTCAACACACCTTGTAGCTGCCGGCTCAGCTCCTTGGTGAAGAGGACTACGGCTAGCTTGCTCTGGCAGTAGGCTTCTTTGGTGTTGTATTTCCTCTTCTGCCAGTTCAGGTCATCGAAGTCTATGTGCCCGGCAATGTGGGCCAGGGATGAGAGGTTGATGACACGGGAGGGGGCTGAGGCTTTCAGCTTGTCCATCAGCAGGTTAGTTAGGAGAAAGTGACCTGTACGAGGGTCCCCCAACAACCAAGCCCCACTTATTTTTCATTCCCACCAGCAACATACGGGCATCCTACTTTTCCAAGTCCACAAGAAAGTGAGAACTCACTTTCAGTACACAGTTCAGTCCAGCCTCGCATCTGGAGGCTGACTGCACATCTGCAGACTCATCTTGCCTTGGTGATCACTGAGAAAAGGCCTACATAGGCAATGTGCCATGAGCAGACTCTTGCTGTCCACAGCACTTCCATCACATGAGGAATTAAAGAGTCCTCTATGTGAAAAAGGTCTGCAGGGTGCATCAAGCCCTACACAAATGTTCTCATGTAAGTCACGTGAGCACCCACAGACTCTGGTACCCAAATGAAGGCTTTTCCTGAGCTGTCAGGTCACCCACAGGAGCAGCCAGCTGTCTTGACAGTGGAGCAAGTCCCCCCCACCCCCAAGCACGCTAGGTCCCACACAGACCCCTGGTGGAACCCAGCCTCAGTCCAGGCAAACAAGAGCATCACAGTCCTCAGCTCAGAGCTCACCCAGATAGTTGACACCAAACTGCATCTCGAAGCCATCCTCAGTGGTCCAGTGTGGGCACCGCATCACGGCCGCATTGTTAATGAGAATGTCCACTCGCTCCTCCTCTGGAAGACAGGTGAGGATGGAGATGGGTCCTCAGGGCTGAGGACAGTGGCCCTGGGAAGGTGGCCTCTTTTGGAAACAGGGTCTGGGCATAGGTCATCTAATCCCATCAGGATTAGGGTGGGTTCTACCCATCTCCCCTGGTGTCCCAGAGAAGCCCCCAGGCCCACACACAGGGCAAACAGTAGACACCTGGTGAGGGCAGGGCAGAGGCTGGAAACCCTGGGTCGAGGTGTGGCCCCGGAGTTCCTAATGAGCTGGAGGCAGAATCTATCCCGCCTTTCTCCTTGTTTGTGGCTGTCTTCTCCCTGTGTTCCCCACATCTATTTCCCTCTGTGTACATTGGTCCCTGCCTCTATGCTTCAATTTCCTTTTTTATTTTTTTTTGTCAGTCATGAGGCTTGAACTCGAGGCTTGGACACTATCCCTGAGCTTTTCTGCTCAAGGCTAATGCTCTACCACTTTGAGCCACAGTGCCACTTTTCTGGTGGCTAATTGGAGATAAGAGTCTCAAAGACTTTCCTGCCTGGGCTGGCTTTGAACTTTGATCTTCAGCTCTCAGCCTCCAGATTAGCTAGGATTTCAGGCATGAGCTACAAGTGCCCAGCTGAACTTTTTATTTGGTTGTGGGGTTTTTTTTGTTTTCTGTTTTTTGTTTTTTTGTAGCACTATTGGCAAAACCACTCGAGCTACACCCTAGTCCTTTTCCTTTTAATCTAGAGATTCATGTTTTTTCTGGGCTGGCCTCAGACTCATCCTCCCACCTCTCCCTTGAGCCACAGGGATTACAGACTTGTACATCTGAAACGGCTCCCAATTTCCTTTTTCGAAGACAACAGACCTGTTGAGCTGGGGCCCACCCTAGTGAGCTCAATGTAACTTGATTACGTGTGTGTGTGTGTGTGTGTGTGTGTGTGTGTGTGTGTGTAAAATTCTGCCTCCAAACAAGGTCAGCTGGGGGCCAGGACCCCAGTGTTTCTTTTCAGGGGAGCACACCTGAGCCCCACAGACCCCTACCACACATGGACCACCATCTCTTTCACCTTGGTCAGGCAAGGTCACAAGTTCTGGAGCTGACCAGGGTTCAAATCTTGGCCCTGCTCTGACCCAGAACAGATTACATAGCTTTCCATGACTCACTTTCCTCCTTTGTAAAGAAAAGATAATAGCACCAGCCTGGTGGAAATATGTAATTATTACTCAAGGAAAAAGTATTTTTGAAGCACCTGTTACCAGGCACTGGGTACACGGGGTGGATGACATGGTTAAGGGCCTGCCTTTCTAGAATGGACATTCCAGCCAGCATGGCTGACAGCCAACACACAATCGAGAACCCTCCAGTGACAGGCACTGCCAGGAGAACCAGTGGCAGGGGGGACAGCAAGTGCTGGCAGTGCTAGACACAGTGAGACCAGAATCTAGGTAGAGAGGTTAGCCCCAGGCAGCAGCCACCCCAGACCTCAGCCTGCCAAGCCAGCACTGTCCACCTACTCTCAGTGACCTTCACTGCAAACTCTTGGATGGATCTGAGGGAAGCCAGGTCCAAGTGCCAGGCGCTCACACGATGGTTGAGCGTCTCCCCACGAATGTCCCTGGCCGCTGCTTCACACTTGTCCATGTCACGGCAGGCCAAGATGATCTTGCCTCCTGGAAATCAGGGACAGAAAAACATGAGAAGGAAAAAAAAGGAGCAAGGGGTCACGCCTGTCATCCCAGCTTTTTGTGAGTCTGAGATTGGGAGGTTTGCAACTTTAGACCAGCCCAGGAAAAAATTCATGAGATCTCATTCAACCAGCGCTGGGTGTGGTGGTACAATTCTATCATCCCAGCTATGCCAGAGGTATAAATAGGAGGATTACAGTCCAAGCTGGCCAGGCCAAAAGAGAGAGAGACAGAGAGAGACAGAACGAGACAGAGACAGACAGACAGACAGACAGACAGACAGACAGACAGACAGAGATCCTATATGAAAAATAACAAAAGTAGAAAGGGCTGGAGGGGAGGCTCAAGCAGGTTTGTAAAAACAAAAGGTGCCTCATGCTGGGCACCGATGGCTCATGCCTGTAATCCTAGTTACTCAGGAGGCTGAGATCTGAGGATCACGGTTCAAAGCCAGTCCAGGAAGGAAAGTCCATGAGACTCTTATCTCCAATAAACCACCAGAAAACTAGAAGTGGCATTGTGGCTCAAGCAGTAGAGTGCTGGCCTTGAGCTGAAGAGTGCAGGGACAGCGCCCAGGCCTAGGGTTCAAGTCCCACGATCGACCAGAAAAGAAAAAGAAAAAGGTGCCTCATAAGTTTAACCTAGAGAAGTTAAAAAGATATACCCCACCTTCTGTGGAAGGTAAAAATGCAAACATCCCTCCACAGATCACAAGAGCTGGCTTCAGCAGGTTACATTTGAACAAAATCTCCGGAACACACACAGATACATGAGCCTCACTCCAAGCCCCACAAAGACAGTGTGATTGTACCTCTTCTAGCCAGTTCCAAGGCAGTCTGCTTCCCAATGCCTGTGTTGGCCCCTGTCACAATGACTGTCTTCCCAGGTATGGTGGCCTTGCTGGGACAAAGCCCACCCGTGACATAGTCCCTGATGGAGAGAGAAGGCACAGGAAGCTTTGATTTTTGTTTTCCAGTACTGGGCTTTGAACTCAAGACCTCTAGGTTGTTTGGCAAGCACATTGCCATGATAGCCACACATAGTCCTTCTCTTCTAGTTGATCTGGTATTTTTTCCAGCCTCAGACTATGATGCTCGCACCTGCACCTCCTGAGTAGCTGGGCTCATAGGCCACCTTTGTTATTGAGGTAAGTTACACTAACCTTTTTACTCAGGCTGCACTTAAACCACAGTCCTCCTATTGCTGCTTTCTAAGCACAAGACCTTGAGTTCAAACTCCAGTACTATCACCAAAAAAACAAAATAAATATATAAATAAAGTGGAGGGGAGGGTAGAGAAAGGGAATGACTGTCCTTGCCCTAAGAGTCTCCTGGAGATAGAAGGCAAGGCTCATTGTGCTGGGCCTCTGTGCACATGAAGTTCTGCTTGAATACTTTTGTTATCCCCAAATGAGGTAGCAGCAAGGCCATCTCAAGGTAAAGTCAGGTCAGCCTGGTGTGTGTCGTTTAATTTCTTTTTTTTTTTTTCCCAGTTCTGGGATTTGAACTCAGGGCCTGGGCACTGTCCCTGGGCTTCTTTTGCTCAAGGCTGGCTGGCACTCTACCACTTGAGCCACAGCTCCACTCCGGCTTTCTGTGTATGTGGTACTGGGGAATCGAATCCAGAGCTTCCTGCACGCTAGGCCAGCACTCTACCACTGAGCCACTTTCCCAGCCCTTGTGTCCTTTTAATGTCTGTATCGTAGTCTGTGTACTTTTTTTTCTTCTTTGTCCAGAACCAGTCACTAAGCATTTGCTAGGTGCATGAATCGATCAATCCGGAGTCCGGTGGGGAGTCAGGGCAAGAACGCAAGCCTAGCAGGCACCAGGCCCTGAGTTCAAACCCCAGGACACCGCCCTCCTCGGAGGAAAGGTCAGGAAGGAAGGTCCCAGAGCTTCCTCGGGGTGACCCTCGGCCCCCGTCCCGCCCCGGGACCCCGCGGCGCCCCTGGCCGGCCCGGCCTGACACCGTGCCGGGCAGAGGCCCGTCCTGCGCTCACTTGAACAGCACGACGCCACCCACCGCTGCGCCCAGCGCGGACGCAGGCAGCAGGAAGCGGTTCATCCCCGGAGGTCCGCAGTCCGCCCGCCAGGGGTCTCCGCGGAGAAGGCGGCGCGCTGCGACTCGCGGCCCGCGCGACAACTCCACAAGGGGTTCCGGAACCCGGCGACAGGAGGCGGGACCCGACTCGCAGGGGGCGGGGCGGCCAGGCGGAGCCAGAGCGACGTGCCTATCAGAATCGTTTTCTGGCGCATAGGATGCCGGGAAGTGTAGTTTCAGGAGCCGAGGGTAGGGCGAGGTCGAGAGGCATGGCCTGCGTCGCTGGCGAATGACGTCACGTTCCGCTAGGCGCCGCGAGGTTCTGGAGTGAAGAAGACATTCGACTTCCCGTTCGCCTGCGGGGTCTGCCGCTGTTGTGGGGGGCGGGAGACAGGGCTTGAACTCAGGGCCTGGGCGCTGCCCCGAGCTCCTTGTGCTCAAGGCGAGCGCTCGACCACTAAGCCACAGCGCCACTTCCGGCTGTGTGTGTGTGTGTGTGTGTGTGTGTGTGTGTGTGTGTGTGTGTGTGGTGCTGAGGAACCCAGGGCTTCCGGCTTTCTGGGGGGGGGGGGGGGGGGGAAGGAGGTGCTGAGGAACCCAGGGCTTCCGGCTTTCTGTGTGTGTGTGTGTGTGTGTGTGTTACTGAGGAACCCAGGGCTTCCTGCTTTCTGTGTGTGTGTGTGTGTGTGACTGAGGAACCCAGGGCTTCCTGCTTTCTGTGTGTGTGTGTGTGTGACTGAGGAACCCAGGGCTTCCTGCTTTCTGTGTGTGTATGTGTTACTGAGGAACCCAGGGCTTCCTGCTTTCTGTGTGTGTGTGTGTGTGTGTGTGTGTGTGTGTGTGTGTGAGTGACTGAGGAACCCAGGGCTTCCTGCTTTCTGTGTGTGTGTGTGTGTGTGTGTGTGTGTGTGTGTGTGTGTGACTGAGGAACCCAGGGCTTCCTGCTTTCTGTGTGTGTATGTGTTACTGAGGAACCCAGGGCTTCCTGCTTTCTGTGTGTGTGTGTGTGTGTGTGTGTGTGTGTGTGTTACTGAGGAACCCAGGGCTTCCTGCTTTCTGTGTGTGTGTGTGTGTGTGTGTGTATGTGTGTGTGAGACTGAGGAACCCAGGGCTTCCTGCTTTCTGTGTGTGTGTGTGTTACTGAGGAACCCAGGGCTTCCTGCTTTCTGTGTGTGTGTGTGTGTGTGTGTGTGAGACTGAGGAACCCAGGGCTTCCTGCTTTCTGTGTGTGTGTGTGTTACTGAGGAACCCAGGGCTTCCTGCTTTCTGTGTGTGTGTGTGTGTGTGTGTGTGTGTGTGTGGTGCTGAGGAACCCAGGGCTTCCTGCTTTCTGTGTGTGTGTGGTGCTGAGGAACCCAGGGCTTCCGGCTTTCTGTGTGTGTGTGTGTTACTGAGGAATCCAGGGCTTCCTGCTTTGTGTGTGTGTGTGTGTGTGTGTGTGTGGTGCTGAGGAACCCAGGGCTTCCGGCTTTCTGTGTGTGTGTGTGTGTGTTACTGAGGAACCCAGGGCTTCCGTCTTTCTGTGGGGGGGGGGGGGGGGGTGCTGAGGAACCTAGGGCTTCCTGCATGCTAGGCGAGCACTCTACCACTGAGCCACCTTCCCAGCCCTGAAGCTGTTTTTTATCAGCTTGGCTGGAGCCACGGCGGCCTGACTGCCTCCGTATGGCCCGCTGCCGGGAGATGGACAGCCTACGTCGGGCTGGGTGGTGCGTGCCCGCCAAGCCCCCATCGGAGGCCGAGGCGGGCGGATCAAGACCTGGCCTCAGAAACAGACGTACAAACCAAAGCCCGGGACATGGGGTGGCTTGTGGGCCGTCATCCAGCTGCCGGGACTGAAGAGTAAGAGAGGCAGGGAGGGAAAGAAGAAAGCAAACGGAGACATTATTAGGGGAACAGTGGCTGGGCCCTGGGCCCCCGGGGTCTGAGGGAGGAGGGCTGAAGTGCGAAGTCCTGGATCTGAGGGAGAAAAAGAGTATGAATTCACACTGAAAAATATGTCCTGGGGTGCCGGGAAGGTGGCTTAGTGGTAGAGTATTTGCCTAGCATGCCTGAGGCCTTGGGTTCAATCCCTCAGTACCACATAAACAGAGGAGTCAGAAGTGGTGCTGTGGCTCAAGTAGTAGAGCACCAGCCTTACAGAGCACAGAGAGGCTCAGGGACAGAGCCTAGGCCTTGATTTCAAGCCCCAGGACCAGCAAATATGATGATGATGATGTCAATGTCATGGACCTGATGTGGGCTTCATACCGGTAACCTAGCTACTTGGAAGGCTGAGATTATTGGGATCCATGGTCAAGGCCAGCCTAGGCAGAAAAAACTCAACAAAAAACTAGATATGGGCTGGGAAGGTGGCTCAGTGGTAGAGCGCTTGCCTTGCATGCCTGAGGCCCTGGGTTCGATTCCTCAGCACCACATAAGCAAAAAGAAAAAAGCCGGAAGTGGCGCTGTGGCTCAAGTGGTAGAGCGCTAGCCTTGAGCTGATGAGCAGAGGACAGCGCCCAGGCCCAGAGTTCAAGCCCCATGACCAGACCCAAAAATAATAATAACTAGCAAAAATATCAGGGTTAGAAGTGTGTCTCAGTGGTAAGAAAGAAGTCTTGTTTAACTAATATGAGGACCCAAGTTCAAACCCTGTACCACAGAAAAATGTGAGGAAAAATGCACTAAGTTCCATCTCCAACAAGAAAGGGAGGGAGGAAGGAAAGGAACTGAGATTCATGTAAACAGGACATATCCCAGGGCTGGAGAACCTGCCCAGCATGCCCACGTGCGAGCTCATTAAGACTGATAATATCTCAGCTATCAGATTGGCTGGGACAATTATCTTCAATAATTCACAGTGTTGGCAAGGACGGGGGAACTCCCTCAGGTGGGCGTGACAATTACATGGAGCTCCTTAAATCCCATCCATCCACCTGCTGGTAAAACCCCGGCAGGTGTGTGACCCAGCTAAGCATCTATATTCTAGGGGTGTGGCTGGTGGTTTGGAAAGAAATAAATGTAGGAAACTTCTTCACAGTCTTGGCTCTCTCATCATGAGATGCTATATGCAAACAAAGTCAACCTCACACAAAATTAAATTTAAAAGCAAATAAGTAGGGGTTGGGAATGTGGCTCAGTGGTAGAGTGCTTGCCTCACATGCATGATGCCCTGGGTTTGATTCCTCAGCACCACATACACCAAAAAAGCTGGAAGTGGCACTGTGGCTCAAGTGGTAGAGCGCTAGCCTTGAGCAAAAGAAGCTCAGGAACAGTGCCCAGGCCCTGAGTTCAAGCCCCAGGATTGACAAAAAAAAAAGCAAATGTGTAAATAAGAAACAACCTTGCCAGGCCTTGGTAGTTCACAGGCCTGCAATCCTAGCTGCTCAGATTGAGATAAAGAGGACCATGCATGCCAATTCACCACTCTGAGGCCTCCTACCCCATTCCCAGACACTCCCTGCCTTGTTGGAATGTCTTTGAGCACCCTCGTCCAGTGTTAATGTTTACAAATTCCTGATAAGCACTGAGTGCTGTCCCTGGTTCTGAGAGGGTTGTCTGTGTACCCTGTGTACCCTATCCAGGGTGTGTGTCTCGCTCTCTGTCTCTGTCTCTCTCTCTCTCTCTCTCTCTCTGTCACACACACACACACACACACACACACATCTTCCCTCCCCGGTCTAGATTCCACATGAGAGAGAAAACACTTGTCCTGCACTTAACTTGATCTCCCATGCCATTCACGTTCACGCACATGACATCTACTTTATTCTTTTCCATGCCTGAATAAAGCTCCATTGTGCCTATGGACCATCGTTTCTGAATCCATTCACCCACTAACCCGGCTCTGACTCCCTGCCTTGGCTGATGGGAACAGTGCTGTCTCTAGAGACATCCATGGTGGCTTGTGCCTGTCAACCCAGCAACCAAAGAAAGCACAGAAAGCCCACGCCAGCTGAGTATATACAAATCAAGGCAATATATACAAATAACAGCCACACCAAGCAAAGGGGCATGGCTCAGGCTGCGAGTGCCAGGTGCATGATGTACTGAAGAGCAAGTGACAGAACGTGGAACTATATGACCCAGGCTGGTTTTGAGAGACCAAAAATAAGTCTGTCAGTAATTTCAGACAAAACTAAAACATTTGTCATCTGTTACTGGAAAGTAAGTGTTAGATCCTGCACCAAGGCAAGATAACAGTAAGAATTATTAAGGGATCAGGCTGCCCTGACCGGTCTCTCCCCCCAACTCTGTTGGGAAAACATTTAGGACAAGACAGCATTCCTGTGGTTAGCCCCGTTTATCCAACCAATGATGTATGATTTAACCTATCCTATAAGTGCCAAGCTAAAAAGTCCCTGCCCTTACTGAAAATGATCATACCCCTAACAAATGAGCTTGAGGCATCTTTCCCCCTGCTACATACTCAATAAAAACCCTGCTGGACAAGGGGTTGGGGCTCACAATTTCCAACCTGCTGTGTCAGGAAGGGTTGTGAGTCCAGCTCGAGCTGTAATAAATGACTTTCTGCATTTACATCGGTGATGGCTCCCTGGTGGTCTTTGGGGGGGGGGGTCTGCGGCCTGGTACTACAATTTCGAACCCCAGATCTTCCTGCTTCTGTCTCCCTGGGACGATGGGGAGCTGGCCACCGCCACACCCACTGTCCCAGCTCTGGACCTCCGTCGTAGCCCAACCCTCCCCACTGCCCGGATCACCACTGCAGAGACCTGTGCCCTGGCAGAGGACAAACCGAGGGGCAGAGCTGGGAGCCAAGTCATTTGTTCCCATCCAGAGGCCCAAGGCTGGGGGTGGGGCGGGGCTTACCCTGAGGGGGCGTGGCCCTGTGGGCGTGGTGGTTTGTTTCTTGCTTTGCTGGACATGACTCACCGGTGGGCGTGGCCTGTGTGGACGGGTCCTTGTGTTGCTCGGTGTGTGGGTGTGGTCTCTGTGGGCGTGGCCCATGGCGTGATTTACTATTCCTTGCTTTGGTGGGCGTGGCTCTCCGATGGACGTGGCATACATATGTGGGCACGGTAGTTGTTATCTGGTTGGTGAGCGTGGTCTCTGTGGGCGTGGTCATCATTGTAGTGCTCTTTCCTAACTGCAGCAAGGTCCTGAGTTCAAACCCCGCAAGTGTGTTGGCCAAGCCAGATCCAAACTCAGGTCCGCCAGGGACCCCTTCTTCCCGCCCTGGGTCAAGCCCTGGCTCCTCCAGCTGCCCCGAGGCGCTGCGGGACCGGCCTCGGCCCCTCCCCCGGTGTGCTGGCCTGCTCCGGCCAGGCCAGTTCTCAGAGCTACCGTGGGGAGGGAAAACCTGCCCTGTCCCCTGAGCTGTCCTGGTGACAACCCGGCTTCTGCTGCCTAGCCCCTACATCCTCCTCCTCCTCCTCCACCCTTTCCTCCAGATCTTCACCCACCCCACCCTCCGTGGAGACATCCTCGGGCGCCCGCCTCACCCATCCTTGCATGTCTGCAACTGCTCAGGTGTCCACCGCGACATCACATCCAGATGCTGTGCACAACACTCCCAATTCTCAGAGTGTTGTTCTTTACCTAGCCGAACTCCTATTCACCCTCCATAACCCCACCTAATTGGCACAACAGGGAAGACTTCCTTGCGTCACTCCCTTCTCCCAAGGCAGCATGAGGGATTTCTTTTGGGGATAATTCACAGCATCCAATGCCACCTCTATTTATATGCACTCGTGCAGGTCTGTTTCCTCTAAAAGACTTTCTCTTGAAGGCAGAGGGTACAAGTCAGAAGCCATGATTAACAGGCACCTGTGGCTCACTCCTGCCACCCCAGCTACTCAGGAGGCTGAGATGTGAGGATCAAGAGTTGAAGCCAGTCCAGGCAGGGAAGTCTGAGAGACTCTAATCTCCAATGAACCACAAAGAAGCTGGAAGTGGAGCTGTGGCTCAAGTGGTAGAGAGCTAGCCATGAGTAAAAAAGCTCAGGGACAGTGCCCAGGCCCTGAGCTCAAGCCCCAGAACAGGTACATGCATGCACGCACACGCGTGCGCGCGCACACACATACACACACACAAACAACCTTATGTATTGAATGACCAAAGCACATGCTGCACACCTGAAAAGCATCATTTTTTTTCTTTCTTTTTTTTTTCTTTGTCGGTCATGGGGCTTGAACTCTGGGCCTGTGTGCTGTCCCCCAGCTCTTCAGCTCAAGGTGAGCACTCTACCACGTAAGCCACAGCACCACTTCTGGTTTTCTGGTGGTTCATTGGAGATAAGAGTCCCATGGAGAGGGGGCTGGGAAGGTGGCTCAGTGGTAGAGTGCTTGCCTTGCATGCATGAGGCTCTGGGTTCAATTCCTCAGCACCACATAAGCAGAAAAAGCTGGAAGAGGTGCTGTGGCTCAAGTGGTAGAGCTCTAGCCTTAAGCTGAAGAGCTGAGGGACAGCGCGCAGGCCCAGAGTTCAGGCCTTAAGACCAAAAAAAAAAAGAGAGCGAGAGAGAGAGAAACAGAGTCTCATGGATGTTCCTTCTCAGGCTGGCTTTGAACCGTGATCCTCAGATCTCAGCCTCCTCAGTAGCTGGAATGACAGGTGTGAGCCACCAGTGCCTGGCTAAAAGGTGTCATTTCTCATGTAGCCTCCCTCCACAGCAGGCTGTGGCTCCCTGTGCCAGCACATTTGACTTTTCTTTTCCTTGTTGAGATTTCAGCAGCAGCTCCCACACTCTGGGGTATAAGGGGGGGCGGGGGTGCCGGGGTGATCATTTCAAATGTGTCATGAGGGGAAAACCAGCCTCTCAGCTGGAATTTCTACATGAGAGAGGAAAACCCAGCTCAGGAAACACTGTACCCCGAGATGGGCTTGGGGGCAAACTCAGGCTGAGAGACTCCAGGGACATGCTGGGAGGGAAACCCACAGGCATGCAGCCCACCAGGCCTGGCAGCCACTGGGGTGGAAGGGAGTTCACGCACCTCCGCCCCAGGCTGAGTCAGGCAGCCCCAGCCTGGCCCCCAAGTGTTTGGGAATCAAAGGCACTGTGTGGACAGAGGGCAGGGCTGCAGCTGCCCCTGGGAAGGAAGGAGGAAAGAGGCTCCACCAGGCACCAGGGTGGAGCTCAGGTTTCAGTGTCAGCCTTAGTCTGGGTGACTGGCACTGCTGGGCAGACCAGACAGGGTATCCTGCACTGCCCACAGGGAAGTCAGACCCCAGCCTCCTCTCTCAGACAGGGAGCCCAGACCCCGCCTCCTCCCTCAGACAGGGAATCCAGGCCCCAGCCTCCTCTCTTAGACAGGGAGTCCAGACCCCAGCCTCCTCCCTCAGCCCCAGGGGTCCAGCTGTGGACTGACACTGTGCCTTTTCTGGCTCCTCGCTGATGGGCAGTGGCGTGGACATGTGCTGAGCCACATGCCAGGCCACAGGACTATGACACAGACTCCCAGGGCTCTTGCCAGCTCTGAAGGCTGAAGCCATGACTCTGACAGCGGGGTGGAGTAATGTGGCCTGGGAGGAGCAGGCAGGCTGCAGGGTAAATAAACACAGGGAGAGACCACAGGGAAAGGGATAGGGCGGGAGCCATGTTAACCAGCATGGTGAAATGTTGACATCAGAGGTAGGACCATGAGGAAGGGCAGAGAGAATTCCGCCCAGAGATGAGGGCAAGTGCCAAGGCCCTGAGGCAGGATGGAGCCCAGGGTTCCAGGAGCAGGAGGGGAGCCAGTGTAGGGACACTCAGATCAGGGCAGAGGAAGAAATGAGGTGTGAGTGGAGTCACAAAGGTCCTCACAGACTCCCGCTTTTGTGCAAGGAGAATCAGGGGGCCACAGTGGGGGATAATCCCCCGCCATGAGTTGAAAAATGACCTGAACTCCTCCAAGCTTCCAGAGTCCTGTGCACCCAGCGTTGAACAAGCCCCTCCCAGCAGTGTGTGTGTGTGTGTGTGAGAGAGAGAGAGACAGAGAAAGAGAGGCTTCCGTGGATAGCCCAGGATGCCCTCAAACCCCTGACCCTCCTGCCTCAACCTCCTGGCTACATTATGCCCCTGGAGATATGTTTTCTGTCAGTCACAAAAACACTTTCCAAGTCAATCTGTATTCTCCAAACGCTAAAGATGCGCAGCAACAACTGCAGTTGCTTATTTGTCTCCATTGTTGTTGTTGTTGTTGTTGTGTTTTTCTGAGTCTCACAAGCAAAAGTAATCAAACCACCTTCTTGCCTTAGCCCAGTGCTGAGATTACAACAGCTCACCACCATGTTCAGCTACAAGGGGTGATGTTTTGGAGGGAAATTCCCAAATGGAGAGGGAAGGGGAGGGGGGAACGATGGGGCTCAGAAACAGCAGCTCTGGCGGAAGATCCCCAAGCAGGGAGCAAGGACTAAAGCTGGTCCCTCACAGACTCAGCCCTGATTTTTTTTTTCTTTTTTCCAGTCTTGGGGCTTGAATTCTGGGCCTGGGAGCTGTCCTTGCGCTCTTCAGCTCAAGGCAAGCGCTCTACCACTTGAGCCACAGCACCACTTCCAGTTTTCTATTGGTTTATTGGAGATAAGAGTGTCTTGGACTTTCCTTCCCAGGCTGGCTTTGAACCGTGATCCTCATATCTCAGCCTCCTAAGTAGTTAGGATTACAGGCATGAGCCACCAGCACCCGGCTTCAGCCCTGATTTTTTATTTTTATTTTTGCCAGTCCTGGAGCTTGAACTCAGGACCTGGGCTCTGTCCCTCAGCTCTTCTGCTCAAGGTGACTGCTCTACCACATGAGCCACAGCACTGCTTCCCGCATTTTCTGTGTATGTGGTGCTGAGGAATCAAACCCAGGGCTTCATGCATGCGAGGCGAGCACTCTTATCACTGACTGAGCCACCTTCCCAGGCCTGAATTCAAATCCTCTTCCATACCCCGCTGTGACCAGGACTGGAGGCCTAACCTCTCTGGGTTTGCATTTCTGCACACACACACACACACACACACACCACTGTGTGTTGGAGGATCTGGGCGCAGGGACCGAGCTGACCGGGGCACAGGTGTGAGGTCACCCTGTAGCTGTCATGGTTGCCTTGTTACAGCCCTGCCTCCAGGGCCCAGCCCCGCCCGCCCGCCAGTACCAGGTGAGCGCTCAGGTATGCGGAGGAGGAAGGCCATGCCAAGCTAGTGGAGGAGGAGGGGACAGCAGACACCAAGAGACGGACACCAGGGCCAGGGCTGAAAGCAGGAAGGTGCTGGACAGGTAAGGAGCCCCAGCCCTGGTGGGGGGCTGAGGGAAGAGGTTGGGGCTGGACCTTTAGGTCTGAAGGAGGAGGCTGGGGCTGGACCCCTGGGTTTGAGAGATAAGGGCTGTGCCTGGACCCCCAGGTCTGGGAAGAGGCTGGGATCTACATCCCTAGATATGCGGGAGGAGGACTGGGGGTCTTAAACTTCTGGGTCTGAAGGAGGAGGCTGGGCCTGGACTCCCAGTTTCTGAAAGAGGAGGATGGGATGTGGATCTCTGGATCTGAGGGAGAAGGACTGGGGTTTGAACTTCTGGGTCTGAGGGAGGAGGCTGGGCCTGGTCCCCTGGGTCTGAGGGAGGAGGCTGGGACAGGGTCTGGGCAGCAGGTCAAATGCTCACATCTTCTGCTGCTCCTGACACCTCCAGGTGGGTAGGAGCTTCCGTTCGGGCACCATGAGCACCTCAGGGTGAGTGCTGCCCCCCTCCCCCACACCCGCTGATCCTGTTCCCTCCCTGCTGGGGTTGGGGAGGAGGAAGGGCCCTGTGCTCCCTGCCCGGCCTGTGGTCAGCAGAGGGACCACAGAGATGGGGCTTTCAGGGCTCTTAAGAGGAGACTGGGCCAGGCACTGGCGGCTCACGCCTGTCATCCCAGCTACTCAGGAGGCTGACATCTGAGGATCACGGTTCAAAGCCAGCTTGGGCAGGAAAGTCCATCAGACTCTTATCTCCAATGAACCACTAGAAAACCGGAAGTGGTGCTGTGGCTCAACTGGTAGAGCGCTCGCTGAAGAGCTGAGGGACAGCGCCCAGGCAGAGACTGAGGACAAGGGAGGGGAGAGACAGTTCTCTCTGGTACCAACTCTCACGTAGTGAGCTACATCTCTGTGGTTGTCCCCCAAGCTACAGCCCCACCAGGCGGCTGCTATGTGACCAAACGGGAAACTGAGGCAGGGAACATTAAGTTCCCGCCATGCCCCAATGGTCTGGGGCTGAAGCATCACAAAGGGGGCGGACGCAGGTATTCGTGACGGTGGAGACATACTGCCCGCACCAACGGCACCACACCTTGCTGCTTGTCTCCAGAACCAGCTTAGACACTGCCCTCCCTGCACTAGCTGGGAACCTTCCACAGCCCCCACGACTCATGACCAAGTCTGTGTGCCCAGCCTGAGCTTCCTGCAGGGTCTTCCCTCAGTCCTCTTGTTCTCTTTTCAGCCCAGAAGCTGCCCCCAAACCAAGTGCCAAGTCCATCTATGGTGAGCTGGGGCCCAAAGGCACCTGTGATGGAGGTTTTGGATGAGAAAGGCTGGTGTTTGGACCCCTGAGTCTGAGGGAGGAGGCTGGGGTCTGGACCCCTGGGTCTGAGGGCAGAGGGCCACCCAGGCTCCAGTCACATCCTCTTTGTCTCTCTGCCTCCTAGAGCAGAGAAAACGCTACTCCACCGTGGTCATGGCTGATGTGTCGCAGTATCACATGAACGTAAGTTTGGGGAGTTGTCTTCCGGGGGAGAGGTGGGCTTGAGCCACTGTTGAGAAGAGTTGGGCTAGGCCTGGTGATGGGGTACAGGTTTGTGATCCCAGCATTCGGGAAGCTGAGGCAGGAGGGTGATGTGTTTGAGGCCAGACCTGGCCGCAGAGTAAAACAGGGTCTCAAAAACAAACATAGAGGGCTGGGAATGTGGCTCAGTGGTAGAGCGCTTGCCTCACATGCATGAGGCTCTGGGTTTGATTCCTCAGCACCACATAAGCAGAAAAAGCTGGAAGTGGCACTGTGGCTCAAGTGGTAGAGCACTAGCCTTGAGCTGAAGAACTGAGGGACAGCGCCCAGGCCCAGAGTTCAAGACCCATGACACACACACGCACCCCATAAATATAAACTGGCCCATTGAAATCTGACTTTCCTCGGGAACAAGTCCTGCGCCAGCCCCGGGGCGAACAGCAGCTCTCCTGGCTGACCCGGGGCGGCCTGGCTGCAGACTGGGCACCCGGCTTGTGCAGTGGGCAGTACCGAGGCCCGCGTGGAGGCCCGCGTGGGAGGCCGAGCTCACCCCATGTCCCCACGCTGTCTGTGCCCCCAGCACCTGGTGACCTTCTGCCTGGGTGAGGAGGATGGCGTGCACACTGTGGAGGACGCCTCCCGGAGACTGGCCCTCATGGACAGCCAGGGCCGAGTCTGGGCGCAGGAGATGCTGCTGCGCGTGGCCCCCGACCACGTTGCGCTGCTCGACCCAGTGGTCAAGGTCCGGGGAGGGGAGGGGCGGGTGGGGGTGGACACGGCTGGCAGGACCCCCGGCGAACCCCCGCCTGCGCTTCCGGGTGCACCCCCCAACCCTCTGGCCACGGTCCCGCCCTCCGTGTACCCCACCATCTACCCTGCCCATCCCCGCAGGAGGAGCTGGAGTCGTACCCGCTGGGTGCCATCGTGCGCTGCGACGCTGTGGTGCCGCCGGGCCGGAGCCGGGCGCTGCTGCTCCTGGTGTGCCAGGAGCCCGACCGCGCGCAGCCCGATGTGCACTTCTTCCAGGGCCTGGGCCTGGGGGTGAGCGGGGGTGGGGGGGCGTGGAACCGAGCGGAGCGTCGGGGAATGGGGGGGGCCTCGAGGAAGGGACGGGGCCTCGGGGACGGGAGGAATGGGGCGGAGCCTCTCGTTTAGGGGCGGAGCCTTTGGGGCAGGGCCTATATTTGGGGAGGAGTTGCCTGCGTTTGAGACGGAGCCTCTGGGGGCGTGGCCTCACTTTGAGCGGCGCCTCGGGCGAGGCGGGCCCTCATGTGGGCGGGGTCTCGCGGTCAGGGCGGCGGTCTGGGGTCTCGGCCGTCCAAGGCCGAGTTAGGGCAGGAATGAGGGGGCCGGAAGGACGAGACTGCTCTAAGAAGGAGAGGGGTGTGCGGACCGGTTGGGTTTGGGGAGCAGCCAGAACGAGGGTGCAGGCCTTGTGGGTCAGGACAGGGAACAGACTCGTGTGCTGGATCTCCATGGCGAGGTCGTGGCTAGATTTAGGGCCTGGGCGCGAATCCAGGCGTGGGCGCACACGGGTCCCCACGGGTGGGTCAGCGAGGGCAGCTCGAAGCCTGGGGCTGGGCCAATAATAATGGGTGAGGGACTTGGCCTGGGCCGAGGGAGGCGTGGCCTGATAGCCCGATTGGCAGGCGGAGCTTATCCGAGAAGACATCCAGGGGGCCCTACACAACCACCGCTCCGGCCGCGGGGATCGCAGGGCAGCGGCGCTCAGGTGAGGAGGCCGGAGGGCGCCGGTCTCTGGGGAGCCGACTCCCTCCCCGCGGTTGGCTGGGCCCCAGTTTCCCCTCCTCCCTCCGCAGAGCCACGCAGGAGGAGCTGCTACGCGGGCCTCGGCCCGCGGCGGAGACCCCGCCCCTGCAGCGCCGCCCGTCGGTACGCGCAGTGATCAGTGCGGTGGAGCCGGCCCTGGCCCGCGGGCGACCCCAGGTGGACCCAGTCCCCGAGACTGAGGAGACCGGGAGGCCCGGCCGGGTGTCTACGCGCGAGCGCGCGGACCCGGCCTCCCCGGACCTGGGCCCCCGGGGTCCAGAGCTGGCCAATCTGCAGGCCGAGCGCGACGTGGTGAGCAGGGCCTGGCCAACTTCTGGGGTCCGAGTCGGACGGGTTGGGCGGGGAGACGTGGGTCTCGGAGCGCGGGGTGGGTGGAGTTCGGTTCTGGGGGCGTGGTCTCTGTCACGGCCTGGGGGCGTGGCCTCCCCAGGCCGCGTCTGGGCGCTCAGCCCCGCAGGTCTGGACCAGGAGGGCAAGGGCCTCCTAGCCTGCCCAACCTTGGCCCTCGCAGGACATCTTGAACCACGTGTTCGACGACGTGGAAAGCTTCGTGTCCAGGCTGCAGAAGTCGGCCGAGGCCTCTCGCGTTTTGGAACACCGGGAGCGAGGCCGCCGGACCCGGCGCCGGGCAGCGGGGGGTAAGGAGAGCCCCTGAGCAGAACGCCCCCTTCCCCAACCCACTCGTCCGCCGCCTGCCACGGTCTCCCCGGATGCCCCCCCTCCTTGTCTGATGCGGGCCCCATGCCCCTCGTGCGCACGCTGATTCACTCCACAGAGGGCCTGCTGACGCTGCGGGCCAAGCCACCCTCTGAGGCGGAGTACACCGACGTGCTCCAGAAGATCAAGTACGCCTTCAGCCTGCTGGTGAGGACAGACCCAGTCCTGGGCGTCCGGGGGGGGAGGGGCGGGTGGCGAGGGGCGGCCGGTCCACGCACGACCCGCGCGCTCCCTCCGCCCCAGGCCCGGCTGCGCGGCAACATCGCCAACCCTTCATCCCCGGAGCTGCTGCACTTCCTGTTCGGGCCACTGCAGATGGTGAGAGCCTCCCCCCGGCCCGCAGGTCCAGCCTGTGGCCTTGGAACTGAGGCTGGACTTCCCGAGGGACGGAAGGCCGACCAACACGCCTGACCTTTTGGCAGATTGTGAACACGTCAGGAGGCCCCGAGTTTGCGAGCAGCGTGAGACAGCCACCCTTGACGGCCGAGGCGGTGGCGCTGCTGCGCGACAACGTCACTGCGCGGGAGAACGTGCTGTGGACCTCGCTGGGGGACTCGTGGACCCGCCCAGGGTGAGCGGGGGGGGGGGGGGGGGGCGGGGGGCCGGGATGAGCTTGCAGAGAGGGCGGGGCTGGAGGAACGAAGGGGGCGTGGCGGGCAGGGGTATGGCTAAGGAACCCGGGGGTGGGCTGGGAGTGAGGGCAAGTGCAGGATCTGATTGGAAGAATGACCACATTCGCGTGAAGGAGAGCTTTACTTCACCAGTGAATCAAATTGGAGCAAAAGGTGGGGCTTAGGAAAATTGATGGGCTACAGAGAGAGAGGTGGCCGCGCGGAGGAGGTGGGCGTAGGGAAATGATGGACTGCAAGGAGGGGCGGGGCCGCGCGAAGGAGGCAGGGCTTAGGGAAAGCCTACGGGGAAGGGCGTGGCTGCGCAAAGGAGGCGGGGCTTATGGAAATAATAGACTGTAGAAAGGGCGTGGCCGCGTGGAAGAGGCGGGACTTAGGTAAATGATGGGCTGCAGTGAGGGCGTGGCCGCCAGGAAGAGGCGGGTCTTGCGGAGTGTGTGGCCAGTGTGTGGCCCACGAGTCTGAAGAAAGTTGCTAGAAAGGGACCCCCTACCCCGGGTCGCTGACAGAGGTGAAATTCAGAGGCGGGGAGGACATGGGAGCAGAACCAATGTATTCAGAAACTTAAATTGAGTTTCTGAGTGGAACTTAAAGGTCGGGGCCGACAGAACTGGATGGAGACTAGAATCGTTGTGTACAGAGATGTTCGGGGGAGCGGAAAGCCCATGACTGGGCTTCTAAGCCGTCTGTTCTGCGTCACAGGCTGGAACTGCCCCTAGAGGAGGGCCCCTCGTACAGCCCCGCGTTCTGCAGCGGCTGGGAGCCCCCCGCCACCGACCCGCAGGGCCGCCCCTGGGAGGACCCGGTGGAGAAACAGCTTCAGCATGAGCGGAGGCGCCGGCAGGTGTGGCCCGCGCTGCCCTGTCCCCCCCCCCCCCGCGTCCTTCCCCCTCCCCCCGCATCCCCCGGGCGATATGGCAGGACTGGGTCTGTTACTTCAGATGCAGCCTCCTCACCCAGGCTCTTACTCTCCACAGCAAAGCGCCCCCCAGGTCGCTGTCAATGGGTAAGTGTCCGCTCCATGGAGGACGGGGCTGGGGGGGGGCGGGGAGGGCGATCCAGGAGGGGTGCGTTCCCAAGGCTCCCCAGGATGACTGCGCACCTTCTTTTCTCTCTTTTTCCCGCAGGTGGGTGAGGTGGTGAAGAGGCGGGGCCGGGGCGGGTGCGGGGGGGGGGGGGGGGGAGAGGGAAGGGTTGCCGGGCTTCAGGGTTGCAGGGAAGAGGGTATAGAGGCCTAGGATCCTGGGGCTTAGGGAGGAAGGGCCTGGGAGTGGGCAAATCTGAGAGTCAGGATCCCTGTGCCCTCAGAAGGCGGGAGGGAGTGCCGCTGGGAGTTTGAGGGGCCTAGGCAGCTCCAGGCCTGGGTTCCCAGGGACAGAGTCCTAGCTGGGCGTTAGACGGAGGAGGCAGGGGAATTAGATAAGAAGAGCTGGGATCAGGTGTTTGGGGTTTTGTAGACTCACATGTGAGACTTGAAGGGCTTAAGAGCGAACTTTGTTGAAAGTTAATTAGTAGGTTGTCCCTGGACCTCATGGAGGTAAAGGCTGAGAGGAGAAATGTTTCCCGTCTGGAAGGCTCTAAGGAAATAGCCCAAGTCTGTGCTGGGTGCTGCCTGGGAAGCTTTCTGGGCCAAAAGCTTTGGAAAATTGAAGCTAGAGGCTTGGATTTCTGCCTGGATTCCTGGGAAGGGAAAAGTCTAGGGATCCAACTCCATGGTTCTAAGCTGTGGAGTTCAGCATCTCAGACTCTCAGGGAGGAGGCAGGAGAGGCTGGAACTCTAGGGTCCTGGGGGCAAGAAGGGGACAGAGGAGGAACTGGTGTGAGATGAGAAGGAGAAAACAAGCCAGTGAGGTGGGAGGAGGTGAATGGGGTCTGGGTGAGGGCCTAGCAGCAGGTCTCAGCACAGACAGCATGCCGGGACCTGCCGGCCCCACACAGGGGGCGCCGCGGCCCTGAAGACCCCCCCTCTGTCCTGCACAGGTAGGCCTGATCCAAACTGAGGTCCCTCTCATTGGGGGTCAAGAGCAGATGCTCCTCCTGGCTGCATGGTATTGCAAGGCTCCCTCTGTGCTTCTAGATCTTGGCACCTGGGTTTGTCACTCACCTTCTCTAGCCTCAAGTCTGGGAAACAGGAATAATGATAATCCCTTCCTGGAAAGGTGGGGAGCTTGTGGCTTTGTAGGGGCTAACAAAGAGCTCAAGACTGTGGCCTGGCTTGGGTTCAAAGCCTCTTGCATGAACCTCAGGAACCAGTTCTCCAAACATGGGCTGCATGAGGGAAATGTCCAGCCTCTCTTCTCTCTCTTTCTCTCTCTCTCTCTCTCTCTCCTCTCTCTCTCTTTCCTCTCTTCTCTCTCTCTCTCCTCTCTCTCCTCTCTCTCTCTCCTCTCTCTCTCTCCTCTCTCTCTCTTTCCTCTCTTCTCTCTCTCTCCTCTCTCTCTCCTCTCTCTCTCGGAACTTGAACTCTGGGCCTGGGCGCTGTCCCTCAGTTCAAGCGAGTGCTTTACCACTTGAGCCACAGTGCCACTTCCAGCTTTTATCTGCTAATGTGGTGCTGAGAAATTGAACTCAGGACCTCATGCATGTGAGGCAAGCACTCTACCACTGAGCCACTTTCCCAGCCCTCTTCTCTCTCTTTTGCTCTCAGCCTTGTATCTTCCCTTCCTTCTAGCAAAACTGGAGATTATAGTGAAGGAGGGAGGAAAGAACTGGGGGACAGAGCCCCCAAATTCATGTCCCTATTCAGGAGACCTCAGTTGGCCAGACTTTGTCCTGTGCCTGGCATAAGTGTTGGGTAATGTTTTTACTATGTACATGACTGATCATTAGTGCATCCAGCATCTAGTAGCTGGTCAGCCACACAGACACATAGAGTGACTGCTTTGCTTCCCCCATGGGGTGGAAGTGGTGGTAAAACCTGAGCTTGCAGCACAGTGCCACATCAGGAGACAGGCAACACATTTCCAGGCTCTCATCCCGTTTCTGGTCTCTATGAATGCACTAACCTCGCCCACTGGCTGTTGTAGCCCCTGCTTGATGCTAACCCCAGCTCTCACAGTGAGCTCAGACCAGTGAGGCTGGCTGCCTCCTAATCCTCAGCCTTCCCAATTCTCCTCAGTCACCAAGACCCAGAGCTACAAGCTGAGCCCCAGCAGGAGTCGGAGCCCGCAAGAAAGTGGGTCCTGTGTAATTATGACTTCCAGGCTCGAAATAGCAGTGAGCTCTCAGTCAAGCACCGGGATGTACTGGAGGTTAGGGGAGGGGGGCAGGGTGGGATCTGAGATGCCGGAATCAGCCCTCCCAGCAGCCCTGCAGACCCAGGCCCTGAATTGCTCCTCCTACCCCATCCAGATCCTGGATGACAAGCGCAAGTGGTGGAAGGCTCGGGATCAACGGGGTCAGGAGGGGTATGTTCCCTACAATATCCTGACTCCTCACCCCGGACCCCATGTGGACCACAGCCAAAGCCCTGCAGGAAGCCTGGTGAGCCGGGGCAGACTCCTAGGTCTTCAGGGAGGGGAGTCTAGGCCCAGACCCTTGGGCTTGGGGGGCACATGAGGATGGGGGGGGGGCTGTAATCCAGGAGGGAGTGGAGGGCTGGGCCTGTCTTCTCCTGATCCAGCTACTCTCCCCATTCCCCGTAGGAGGGCAGCGCCCCGCCTCCCCCGCCAGGCCCGGCTCCAGCTCCGGCGCCGGCCCGTCCCCTCTGGAACAGCTGCGACAGTCTCAACAACTTGGACCCCAGCGAGAAGGGTGAGTTAGGTTGGGGGGGGGGGGAGAGACACTGCCTCAGGGGAGGGGACCTCGCCCTGGCTTTCCAGGCAGGGAAACCGAGGCCTGGCTCTGAAGGTGCGTCCCTCCCGCAGAGAAATTCTGTCAGATGCTCAGCGTGAACGAGGAGCTGCAGGCCCGCCTGGCCCAGGGCCTCCAGGGGCCGAGCCGCGCTGCCCTGGGGCCCCGCGCCCCGGAGCCACCGCTCAGCCCCAGCGCGGACAGCTCTGAGGTCCACGCCTGGCTGCGGGCCAAGGGCTTCAGCTCTGGGTGAGTGGAGCCCGGCCTTGTCCCTGGTGAGGTGCGGAGCCCAGAGACGGTAGCAGCCCTCCACAGTCCCCGGGCGGACCGCCCGCGGAGTGGGCCGGTCCTGAGACGGCTCCCGGTGAAAGGCTCCACCCGGAGTCCCGGGACAACCTGCCGGGTTTGGAGCGCAGAGGTGTGGAGGGGGCTGGCTCCTTAAGCCCCGCCCCCGCCTGGGGGACTAGGGCGCTGCTGATTGGGTCAGTGGCAGAGGGGGTGTGGCGTGCAGGCAGGACAGCGAATGGCTGTCCCGCTTGACCACGCCCTCACCCCTCAGGACCGTGGAGGCGCTGGGGGTGCTGACAGGGGCGCAGCTCTTCTCTCTGCAGAAGGAGGAGCTGCAGGCCGTAAACCCCGCAGAGGGGGCGCGGGTGTTCAGTCTCGTCACCGTGCAGCGGGCGCTGCGGGAGGTGAGCGCTCCGCACCCCGCGCCCCGGGGCTGGCCGGCGGGCGGGCCAGCCAGCAGGCCAGCGGGGAAGGTGTTGATTTCCGCCCGCCCACCAGGACAGGGAGAAAGTGTCGGAGCTGGCGGCCGTGATGGAGAAGCAGAAGAAGAAGGTGGAAGGCAATACCGAGACAGGGGTCATCTGACCCCGCCCCCGGCCCATCCACGAAAAGTGATGAGAGCTGGGTGGGGTCACGGGCGCCCGCGCCCCTCCCGGGGGTGGGCCTACATCCGGGAGCGCGGCGGGCCCGGCCCAGTCCCGGCCTCGCGAGTGGAGGCGGGGTCACGCTCGGGACACCCGGACCAGCCGCCCATCTATAAACAGCCTCCTCTCAACCGCAGTGTCGCCTGCTGTCCCCTGACCGCCCGGCGTCCAAGGGTCCCCACTGCTCCCAGCTGCTCTGCGACCCCCGCCTCGCCCCCCACGTCCTGGTCCTGCCCTTCCTCACCCCTAGGCATTCCCATCTGATGGTTTTGCTGGTCAGGACGGGCTTTCCAAGCCTGGTGAACTCCTAGACAGTCTTCGTTACCCAGCTCAGATACCCTGGAGCCCCGTCTTCTAGTACCCCAGTACCCACTCTACCTTGTCCACTCACAGAAAGGGCAGAGCCATCTCTGCATGCTGGGGGCACTGTGAAATCTGCCCCCCTTCCAAGCCTCATGTCCAGTCCCCACTGTCCAGCAGGGCTGGAGGACCAGGCGTCCCTCTGCCTCCAGGAATTACAGCCTGAGTCCTGGCAACATCCTGGGGCCTCTAGCAGCTCCCTTTGGAGGTGGATGCCCCCCCTACCCCACCCCAGGGCCCTGGAAAATCAGAGGGCCTCTGAGATAGCCTGGAGCAGACAGGAGCCTGGGCTCCTCATGCCTAGTTTCATCCTGGAACATGGGCTCCTTCCGATGTCCAGCCCAGTCCTACCCGGTACCAAACACATGCACCACCTGGTCCCAGCGTGGCACTGACTGCCTGTGGCTAATGGCCAGGCTCGAGGCCTGCTTCTTCCTGCCGGCAATGCCCTGGCTCAGTGGTGGCCTCCCAAGTGCTGGGATCACAAGCATGTGGCTGCCACTTCTCACTTCTAGTAGAGGAACTATAAATGCAAATAGTTATGAAAACCACTCTGTTCTCCACACTCTTTCCTAATGAGGGGTCCTTGAGCCAGGCTGCAGGCCAAAATGCCTGCAGGAAACAGTGAACAAGCTAGCAGGCCACTTCTTACCATCTTCACTCTATCACCTGCTCGGGGCCACCATTCTTTCCAGATGGGATTTCACCTGTAGCTGGCCTGTCACCCCCCAACCTCCAGTCTACTCTCAATGCAGCAGCCAGGATGTCCCCCTAAAAGCCAAGGTGGATGAGACATGGTGGTCTGATCTGGCTTGAGCTTAAGTCCTCAGAGCCCTGGACTGCACAGCACTATCAATGGCTTTTGGTTTTTTTTTTTGGTTAGTCATGGGGCTTGAACTCTGGGCCTGGGCACTGTCCCTCAGCTCTTCAGCTCAAGGCTAGTGCTCTACCACTTGAGCCACAGTGCCACTTCCAGTTTTCTGGTGTTAATTGGAGATAAAAAGAGTCTCATGGACTTTCCTGTCCTGGCTAGTTTTGATCCATGAACCTCAGATCTAGCCTCCTGAGTAGCTAGGATGACAGTTGTGAGCCACCGTGCCCGGCCCTTTTTTTGCTGTTGTTGTTGGTTGTGTGGCTTGAACTTAAGCCACAGCGCCACTTTTTAAAAAAATATGTTTCCAACTTGTTTGCCCCCAGTGGCTTATCTCATCTTAACATGTCAGAACTGCTTCTACCCCAGGGCCTTTGCAAAGGCAGCCCCCACCACATCAAGGACTCAGGTACACAACTCACACTCCACCAAGCTCAAGGGTCTACCTCCCCGACCACACTGCACCACATGTACCATGTGCACACCCCACACACCCCCACCTCACCATGGGCCAGGCCTCTCCCCCAGCGCGCACGCGCACGCATAAACACATACACACACACCCAGCAGGGCCTTTCCAGCAGCATGGGCCTGCAGCAGTACACAGGGCCCGGCAGTGGAGTACAGCCAGTACTGACTGCACGAGTCACGCATGTGCTGCTCCAACCTCTGCTCCAGACCTGGCTGCTGGCACATTTCCAGATTGTCTATGTGAGTCATCTCAAATGCTAAATGTTGACAATTGACTCCAATCTGTTGGAAAGGCTGCTTGAGCCCAGCATGTCCACAGCCCCAGCTGACCCTCGTACACCTCCAACCACTTCTGCCTCACTTAGGGCCCTCACTCTCACAAGCTGCTCCTTCTAGAGTATTCCTCACACCCTTGTGAACAAGCTCCTTCCCACCTGCAACACCCCACTCATATGACCTATTGATCCAGCCGGGCGCCGGTGGCTCACGCCTGTCATCCTAGCTACTCGGAAGGCTGAAATATGAGGATAATGGTTCAAACCCAGCCCCGGCAGGAAAGTCCGTGAGACTCATCTCCAATAAACCAGTAAGAAACCAGAAGTGGCGCTGTGGCTCAAGCAGTAGAGCACTCACCTTGAGCTGAAGAGCCCAGGGACAGCACCCAGGCCGAGTTTAAGACCCACGACTGACAAAAAAAAAAAAAACACCTGAGCTCCAAAACCAGAAACAGCACCACCCACGCCCCACCTGTGCTGGCTAAAGGCATGGAGTGGCAATGTTATCGTTTTTATTTGTGCCTGTGCTTTGTCTCGAAAATACCTTCTCCCCTTCCCCAAAACAGGTGGGGAAGGGGCAGCAAAAATAGAAGACGTTCCTCCCTATTGCACATGGACCCTATGTCCACACCCAGTCGGCAGAGGCTGGGCAGGACTCTTGGCACATTCCTAGATCCCTGCTCGGGAGGGGTGCTGGGTGGCGTCACACGTGCAGTGGGCCCCGGTGGCCGCGGGTCTTGGCAAGTGATCCCCGGGCTGCTTGATCCTAGCTTCCTCCTGGTCCCTTCTCTGGCCCCCCACCCCCATCTCCTTTCGGCAACATCCCCCTACCTGGCTCAGCCCCGCCTCCCTCCTGGCCTGGGCCCCCTTGGCTCCTAGCCTCTGTGCTTCCCTCTGGGTCCTGAGGTCCCCAGAGGGGGTTATGGCTTCTCAGGGGCTTCCCCGGAGCCTGGTCACTCGTGGTCACGGGGGCGGGGTGCATGTGTCAGAAGCAGCTGCGTAGATGCGGTGCGGGGCTCTGCAGTCACTTGGACAGTTTGCTGATGACCCGGATCAGCGCTGCATTCTCATCCTTGAGCCGCTGGTTGTCAGCGCGGAGGTCGGACAGGGCCTAGGGCACAGGGCAGGGTCAGTGGGGTCAGCGGTCCACGCAGCGCACCGGGCTTGTCAGTGGCCCAGCACCCACACCCACCTTCAGTTCCTCCTCCAGCTCTGCAGCCTTGCGCTCCAGGGCCCGGCGCTCCTAGAACAAGGGGCAAGGTCAGGGCGCCTGTGGCTGGCACTCAGGGGCAGAGGTCAAGGCTCCCCAGCCCAGGCAGCCCCCACTCACGAATCTCTCCAGCTCCAGGAGAGCGGGCCTCTCGGCAAAGCGTTCCTGCCGCTGGAGAGGACAGAGAAGGCCGGGTCAGCCCCGGTTCCAGCCCAGACCACCAGTCAGACCAGATGCACAGACCCTGGTCCTCTGACTTTCAGGGTCCAGCTCCCAGGCCCAGGCTGCCCGTCACAGCTGGGCAACAGAGCTGGGCATCCTCACCTGCGTGGCTCGCTCCAGCTCTACCTTGAGCTGTGCCAGCCTCAGTGAGGTTTCTGTTAGGGCCTCTCGGAGCCGCTCATTCTCCCGGCGCAGCTCTGCATATAGCTGGATGGGGGGACAGGGCAGCGGGGGGACAGGAAGCCAGGTCAGGAGGGCAGGGGCAGGGCAAGGGGGGGCGGGACAGGCCGGGTCAGGACAGGGGGAGGGCAGGCTGGGTCAGGAGGGCAAGGACAGAGGGTGGGGGCAGAAGGCCGAGTCAGGAGGGCAGAGACAGGGCAAGGGCGGCCCAGCATGCAGAGGCAGGAGAGGCAGCATGGGCATGGGCTGCACCTTCCGGAAGCCTCCATCTGGCTCTTCAGGCCCTGGCTGCGGCTCTGGGTGGAGGTCCCGCTGGGCGCGCTGCCTGCGGGCCGTGCCACCATCCACGGCACTGTGAAGTGGTGGAGGGGGCCCAGGGGTGCGGGCGTCAAGATGCGGATTCTACAGACCAACCAGACCACCCGGCCCAGCCCACATACCTGCCTTCAGCACTGTAGTCCCCCGGCTCTGCCTCCTCCCCCTGCCGAAAGTCAGAGAAGGAAGGGGTCAGCCCCACCTACTGGACCCCAGCCCCACCCCCCCCAGGGCCCAGACCCTCACCTCCGCAGGCCCCCTCCGCTCTCTGTTGGCCTTGGGCTTGCTGTGCTCCCTGGCAGCCAGTGGTCCTGGGCCCTGCCCGTCGGGCACCTCTGCTGGGGAAGGGGCGTCACTCAGTGTATGGGCGCCCAGCCAGGCCCTGGGGGGAGCTGGCAGTCTGCCCAGTCACTCTGCAGAAGGCGAATCTCACCTCGCTGGGCAGGGCCCTCGGAGTTCTCCACACCAGGCACGCGGGGCCTCTGGGGCGGGTCCTGCAGGGTGGAGGGGGCAGTCAGGACCAAGGAGCCTGTACCCTACACAGTGCTCACCTAACCCTGCTCACCAAGCTGAGCATCGATGACCTCTCTGGCTCTGGGGTCTTCCCTGCGGCCTTCTCTGCCTCCTTCAGGTCTGTCAGAGTCACGCCCTGTGGGAGAGGGACAGTCAGGGAACAGGGGACAGTCAGCCAGCCAGGTCTGCCCTCAGACTAGGGATGCAGACCCCAGCCTCCTCCCTCAGACCTAGGGATCCAGACCCCAGCCTCCTCCCTCAGACCCAGGGTCTAGGCACAGCCTCCTCAGGAGACCAGGAGCTGGCCCCCACCTGGGTGGACCTCCGGGACTGGCGCATGAGGCGGGAGCGAGCCTTCCGCTGGGACTCTGACTCCTCGTCCCGCACAGGCATCTGGTAGGACCTGAGGAAGGACCAGCACTCAGGCGTGCTCTCCGGGCGCTGTCCCCCTCCACACACTGACACAGTCAGACAGGAGCTGCCACAGCACGGGGACCCCATGCAGCCTTACCTCCGCCGGTCCCGGGAGTCGGCGGGAACATCGGGCTTGCCTGGGGATGCAGGCCCTCCTGCAGAGGGAGGAGGGGGCCTGGCGGGGTCAGACCTGTGTGGATTCACAAGTCAGCATCACTCAGACCTGAGATCTGCACTGGACACTGGACATAGCAGAACATGCTGCGTGCGCTGAGCCCAACAGCTCAACAAAGACGCAAACCCGGGAGCACAAGAGAGTAAAGAACATCAGGGAAAAGAAACAGCAAAGCTGCAAACATGGAGACTCAGAGACCTTGCCTTTCATAGATGGGAGGGTCTGCAGGAAAGCCAGGAGGACAGAGCCAGCCCCATAGGTGTGAAGGGGATGAGAGAGAAGCGGGGGAGGGCATGAAGGGAGGCAGATGACCGAGGCCTTGAGCATTTCACTGTGTCTGATACACGCAAAGGGAAGTGAGGGTAGTGGGGGGGAGGGGCAGAGGGAGAGCACTTGGGGAGAGTCAGGAGGCCCAGAGAGCAGACTTGCCCTGGATCATGAGCCAGGACAGACCCACCTCCCCTCCACCCCAACTTGCCCAGAGACTCACAGAGGAGCGGTATCTGGAACCTTCCTGGAGGGAGTAGGGGGAATCCTGGCAAGTCGTGGCTCCCAGACCTGCATGGCAAAGAGCTTGGGAGGTATTCCCTGCCATGGAGGCAGGCGGTGCCCTGCCCTGCTCTGCCCACCAGAGCGGAGGTCCCACCCCACCCACCTGAGCAGAGGTCCCTTCCACCTGCGAAGAGGAGGCTGAGCGCTGCAGCCCAGCCCCAGGGGCTCCCTCGACCCCCCGCCTTTCTGTGGGTCCCAGGGCACTGGAGCTGCCTGTCTTCTGGAGACCAAAGCGGCGAGGGAAGGCAGCCTCTTCCGGCAGCTGGAGAGAGGAACCACCACCTGTCACGTCACAGAGTCCTCTCCTGAGACACAGGTCACCCACAGGAC